TTTTTTTGCTAGGATTGGGCCGGGATTTCTTGGTAGCCATATCCAGACATCGCTCGTTCATCAGGCCCACATGCTTTAGCCTACGTACTTGAGGATTCCCGCACAATTGCTGTCGAGAGCCCAGGGAAACGCACCTCACCGACTGGCCATGAGGTGTTTTCCGCAGTTCCGCCACAATTTGTGCCAACTGCGAGTGGGTGCGGCTGCAAAAGAATATTTGCACAGGCCGATAGCGGTCTTCGGATGTTTCCTGTGGTCCATCTTCGGTGTCGTGCTCTGAATCTGAGTCGGAGCTCAACTCCAGGTCCTTCTCCAGTTCCCCGAGCTTGCCTCGTTGCACCCTTCCTTGCTTCCTATGCATTTTCGCCCTTTTCCTGATTTGCACCAGCTGCTGCTCTTGTTTGTCCACCAGCTCCTGCAGGTGCTGCAACCTGTGGAGTTCCTCCCGCCGTGCTCTGGACTTTCCCTGGCTTTCAAGCCAGTCGCTCGACTGCTCGCTCTCCTCTTTCAGTTTTGCCAACTCCTGTTCCACGCCGCGAATCCTTGCCAGCATTTCCGTGTGCACCAGCTCCTCGTGCCTGGCCAGCCAGGTGAGTGCGCCGCAGGTGAGCGTTAGGGACTTTCCCGTTCCTGTTGGACTCTCGAATATGCCCACCTGACCATTCTCGAGCACCCGGAAGAGCTCCTGCATCAGCTGCTCCTGGATTGCGTATGGTGGGTACGGAAACCCGAACTCCTGGGCGGTGGGCGTGTCCAGCCGCTGGTCGGGCGTATACTGGGCCATTTCCAAGCTGCTTTATTTGATTATTTCACATTCCAGCGGCAAAATCGGCAGAATTGGTAAAATGCCAAGACAAAACGACGCGCCAAGAAGAGGAAGAACGAAAAACAGAACAATAACGCGGTAAGCCCGAAAATGGGCTAACGCGTGGGCGTCGCAATTTTGAGTAAGTGATGGAACTTTAGTGGTGGCAATGAATACGATATTTCAAACTTTAGCGCCATTACGCATAAAAACGTTTTAAGTGCTTGATAACAAATGGTATTTTAGGCTGAACAAATAAAAACTTTGACAGTATTTAAATTCTGGACTCTTGTCAAAAATCCTAAAACACCGTACAACGATGCCACCGAATATCGATGTATGCCACATATCGATAGCGGCTGCGTTGGCACTAAAAAATACTGCGATACGCAAGCCGCCAAAATTCATAAAGTACAACAACAAGTGGAGAGCAAAAAAAGCGAAGCAAAAAAAGTGAAACCGAGAACAAAAAGCGTAAAATCTGGATACCTGCTGTGAGTAATGGTTGAATAGAGTATAGTACATATGCAAATTGAATGCAGCACTCGCTTAGTAAGTATCAAAGATTGATTGATTGCCAATTAGTCATGATCAGCGTTATAAAATTTCGTAAGGGGATGTTGCTATCTCGCTCTGGCAAGAGCGTCCATTTTAATTTCGATTTAATGGCCTTAATGGCTGGATTTCAAGTTAAAAAGCTGTATTTTAATGGGATTTCAAGAAATATGCACTTTGTTTTTATGTGGCATCCAATATTCAGATTCAATATTCAGCGAAAACCGAAAAATGTTCAGTGTCCCATTGCCGCCATCTTTATTGCGTCCCTTTGTGTCCTCGTTTGCGGAACTTTTCACGTCTTTCATTTTACTCACACGTGCTCACACGATACATATGTACATGCATATGTATGTATGTTTTAATATGTTTGTATGTTTTAATGTGAATATAACACTTTTAAGATACATCGATCGTCCATCGTTATTGGAAATTATCCAACTAAATATTGGCTACATTTTGTTTTGAACTTGAGGCTAGTAATCAGATTTATCATTGTTCTTAAAGTTTTCAAGTAGCTGGAAACCTCTTAAACAAAATCCAACCAACATAATTTGGTAAACTTCGCGATTTATCCATTGATGCGGTAATATTGTAATTATCCATTAACAAGTTGTGAATCGCGTGCTGGGTTAATCAAATTGAAATTGATTTGATTCTCTTCTCATTTATAATCTTAAGCTATTCTTATATTCTTCGGAACTGAGCAGTTCCAACTCCACCCAGCTAGTAACTCAATTGTGGGCGTTTGAACTGCGTTCTTGAGCTCGCCGGATACTCTTTTACCGATCGCCGCGACAAAAAAGCGAACCTCCGCCACTGTTTCCTGACCTTCCGAACCACTGACTCACCGACTTTTCCACCGAGACTCGACTTTTCCAGCCAATCCGATGGCGACGGGACCTTGGCAGACAGTGGGTCGGCACGGCAGTGGGATCTCGTGCACGGGGAGTGGTCCAAATGGATGTTGGCCATAGGTGGTCGCAGCAAGCCTTTGGACGACGGAGACATGTCCCATTTGTCAGAGTCGCACTTGTGCTTTGCTTGCTTCTTGCCGGGGTGGCATAATTTTCGACTTAACGCACGTCTAAAAATACGCGGTGCTGCAACACATGTAAGACTATCTGAATGGAAATACAAATACACCTGCGTGTGCCACTGTGATTGCTAATAGTTGGCTCAATGATAGTGCGTTCTCGGTTATTTATGGCCGATATTTCGTGCGATTAGGTGCCATAATTTATCAGACTTCTGCAACCGCCGTTGCTCACATATTTCATCGGCCGTGGGATCTGGACACCGAGATCTTGAACTCTAGTCGAGCGACATTTGGAACGATCACGGATTTCTATAAGCCAACCGCTGGTAGAAAGGATCGTGAAGCGATGAGGTTTTCTTATGCTGTTTGTGCAATACATTTATACACTGCATGAAATTATTGGCTAGAAGCTGGAGTACCCAAGCAATTGTTAGGACCAGAAAGAGGGCTTGTCTGGCTGGGAATCATCCGACATGTCATGTGTCCGGCGCCCATGACTCCCGTGGAGGCGGTGACCCAATCTATGACACACGCTGTAGCGAGCAGGATTTCGAACGCTGTTTTTTGATCTTTTATTACTGTTATGACATTCAATAAGCAATTAGGCATTAATCACTGCCGGGGGCAGCATTAATCACCAGCGCGAGCTCAATCGCAGCTCAGAGCACCGAAAGCGAGCCTTCAACTTATGCATATTATTTGCGAATGAGAATAGAGAATAGAGAACCGTGGTCTGGGGACCGGGGACTGGGAGGGTTTTCCATCCACGAATAGTTGGCGACACAGCCAGTCGCACTCTCTGAGACCAAGTCCCGCTTGCAAGATATGATGTCACCGTCTGTTTATAACTCGCCCGTCAGCGATGCAGATCGAATCTGAAATCGGTAGGGTTGGAGGTGCCGATCGGGTCGAGTAGATTGCCGACAGATTGTCCCACGCCCACGCGGAGACACGCGCCAATAGTGAACATAATCGAGTAAGCAATTGTTCTTGGTGACCACGTTGGCAGTACCCTGTAGTCTGAAATCTCTTAAAAAGAATCCACCGATATCTAATTATCACTTCTTGAAGTTCTTTAACTGGCTTATATTCCGAATAAACCTCGAAACAACTGAGGATAATTAAAAAATTGGCTGTTTTGGGCGATCAGTGTATTGCAATATAACTAAACCACCATGTCTCTAGAAAAAGGGTATATGTAGCTTCATTTGCGCTGAAGGCAGGTTAGGTTGACTCAGGTGTAGTGCCCCGGGCGGGATGACGCCGGGTGGCTTCCAGATTCATGAGCAGATATATCAAAAGCGAAACTCACATTTTTGAATATTAAACTTGAATTTATTGTTGTTCTTTTAGAGTGGTGTGATCGGTTGTGGTCGGATCGGCGATGGTTTACAGATACAGTAAGAGATACAGATATAGATACAGCGAGCGTTAGAGATACGGGTAGGCTACGGAATAACATGAAACACACGGTATATGGATGACTTGGGGGATGAGAGTTAACATTATCGACTATCAACTGTCCTTCTGTTACACATAGAATTGATTGGGCTTCGTTGCGGTTTTGCTCTATTTCTGTTTTGCTGTTGATCCTCTTGTTTGGCTTTCACATCGTTAGTCAACTAGATCTATTTTTCGTATAGTTTTGCTCTGGTCAAAATTACACAAATAACATCTGGACCATCTCGACACATTCTTTTATTATTTCTTACGTTTGTTTTAGCACAGTTTGTGGGAGGTTTCTTTGTTGTTTGCTCTTGCGGTTTGCGGACATTTACACATTTAAATTTCATTAATTATATCAATATCTTTAGCAATATACATGGATATATATTATAGGCCTAGAGCTATACAATTAAACGGACCTTTTTGCCAGAACTTGTTTGGGTTTTTTTTTAAGAGGATTGGATTGTGTGGCCCGTTTCTACCTGCAGCTGAGTTCGGGTATCGTTTTCGCTTTTTAAGTTAATAACAAAGATTGATCTATAGTTATTGTTGATCGTTTATCGTTACATTTGTCCAGGTACTTTTGTAGCGCATATTGTGTTTAAGTTATTTGGTTTTTGTCGAAAAAACTTTGTGTAACCTACAACTAAAAGCTAAGAATGAGGGTCTGGGCTCAGGTCAAGGTCAAAGGTCGTGGTCGAGGTCGAGGTGGGTAAAATGCAGATGCGCCACTAAAGAATTGATGAGTCCTGCGTGGGTGAGAGCGATGGATGGTGGTGTTGTTCCGATGATGTTGATCTACTCCTACAATGCTCTATTAATTAAAGGATACTTCCGCTTTCAGCTGCTGGCAGAAGAGAGTCCCCAATCCCAAAACTCAAGAACTGAAACGCCACTCTTTATGGTCATATTTTTTATATATATTAGAGAACATTAATCGAAAACAAAGAAACAACTTGGGAAATAATACAAAAAAATAAATAAAATAATTTTTACAAGCGGGGCTAACATCATGGACTTGATTGCATTTTGCCATTACAGTTACAGTTAACATTTACAGTTACGAATTACATTTAACATCGAATGTGGTGGCAACCCTGGCAGCTCTCCACTCGCCTGACCTGAGTTGTTAAAACTTTGTTAAAGTATTTTTTGTTTTTTTTTTTTTTTTTGTATATTTTGGGTAATTTTGTTGGAAGCTGAACGTAATATCAATTGTCGGCGAGCGAAGTCCCACCCTACAATATTCTAGGGTTCCTTCTATGTGTGTGTGTGTGTATTGTGTAGTGTGCGAGTGTTTCTGTGTGTGAGGTAAACTTTTCTTAAGGTATGTATGCTCAATACAATTTTTTATCTTAAAGTTCCATTTCCAATGGAAAGGGTTTTGTCGGTTAGATGCGCAAAAATCGTATTTGGGACAATTAGGCACGCATTCTTGAGTGTTATTTGAGAAGTATCGTGGTGACATAACATTATGGTAGACTTGGTAGATCTAGAGAAAAAGGCGGTGCTCAAAAAGCTTGACAAGCTCATCGGGTTTGTTACATGTTATAAATAGTTTGCGTATTTAACATAGATATAATTATATCGCTTATCGTTTATCGGTATCGTTGGTTAACTCTTTTTCAACTCGAGGCAATTACAAATATGAAATAATTTCAAAGCACTTGTTGGGGGAATTACATTTGTTTGGGTTGGATGCTCCTTTAGGCCACTTTTTGGTGTTCACAGCTGTTTGTACACACACTTGTATATATAATTAACTGCTTTATCTGTGTATAATTATGTATATATCGTTGATCAAGCAATAAACACACAAATATATAAGTTTAACCTCGATTTAGTACACGCTTGTATATATATATATATATCATTCGACTTTTCCTACCATATGTATACAGTATAAATTACAAAATTGGATTTTCGTTAAACTGTAATAAGGCGCACGTTAGAAGGAGTTGCAAAGTTTCCATTTTAGCAGCACTTTAAGGTCTTCGATTCCACCAATTTATACATAATACATTTCTTATTCCTTTTATCTCTTGTATACATATTATATTTATATATTTTCTTGTTCTGGTATATATAGATTAGTTTTGCAAAAGATTTAACAAAGTGTAGATTAGTAATTTAGGTTTAGTTGTCAATTGAAAGATCTTTTTTTTTTTGTCGATTTAGTGTTTGAGTAAGGCAATTTTACTTATTTTTTAAACATAGCTTACGATGTATGGACACAAAAAAAAAACAAAAATTCATAAACATATGTATAAGAGTATGTATATACGGTATTTATACATACAGGGTTTATCACTGACTAAGCCTAGGTTTTAGAAAAAAATATCAAACGTCATATCGCATGGGCTTCTTATTTCTGTTACTGTTTTTGCTTCTCATCTCGAATATTTCCCTCTAATCTCTCGATTGTTTATACATTTATAAGCATATTAATATAATGGTTAAGGCTTTGATGTGAGCAAAGAGCAAACAAATCTATGCTTGAATCGAAAAGAAAAGAATCGAACAAATTAAAATTAATAATTACTGATGCGGATGTGACTGCTAGCAGTTGATTACTGCTCTTCTTCCCTCGACTTGCTTTTCTCGCAGGCTTGCAATGGAATGCTAATCGATATACCTAGTTAATGTATAAAAATTTGGTTATGTACAGTTGTGCAAGTGTTTCTTTCACCGCTGCGCGTGTGTTTGTGTGCTCTCGTTTCTGCTTCTTCTGCTTCTGCTTTTTCTGCCTCTGCTTTTTGTCCATTGTTCTACGTTCTTTACATCTTACTCCTTACAGCTCTTTAATGATAGTTACTTGTTAATTGTTTCTGCTTCTTGCTTCATGAGGTAGTCAAGCCACAGGCTGGATGCCGGCTCCAGGCGGACTTGGGATCAAGGTATGGGGGGGGTTTTCTTTTGGGGGCTGGGTGTATCTCGGGTTTGGGGTTTTATTCGAGTGGTCCTTGATTGAATCGCGGGATCCGGACCTTTGGGGGAACTCTGCTATTGGAAGAACTTGGATTGCGTGTGTTAAAAAATTAGCGATCACAGAGAGCGCCTTAGGGTAAAAGAATCCGAAATTTAGTAAGAAGTGGCTAAAAAAATTAAGGATGCGAAACTATTTTGGTCTGCTTTCAATTCTATGTAAGAAAGTTGTAGGCTAGAGAAAAAGGTGTTGCTTTGTCTTTGAAGAAAGCTTCAGTTATAACTGATAACAGGGGTCGTATTGGATGGGATCTTCGCTACGGACTGGTTGTGGGTCTTGGAGGGAACTGCGGCTTCTCTTTCTGTACTCCTGCTTAGTCGATGAGTGGCGTTTAAGATTAACATTAGTATGTGGATGATGCCCTAGCACCAGTAGTCTATATGAGTCCAAGCCGGATCCTGTTCCTCTCCGAGTTGCAGCTCCATTTCGAGTTCGAGTTCCACCTGCCCGTCAAGTTGTGGACTGGTCGGTGGCTCTTCCTTCCCGGCCGGGTATTGGTCTGGTTGCTGCTGTTGCTGACTGTTGTTTGGCTGTTCGAAGGCTGGTAGCAGCAGGTCGCGGTCTCGATCCCGCTCCCTGTCCGGCGCCCTTCCTCACGCCAGGCAACTGCCGTTGTTCATGAAGGCGGTGGCTGAGTCCAGGTCGACGTACTCGCCGCCCTCCTCCACCAGTTGGGACAGCAGATCGGTGGCAAAGCATCCGTTTTTCAGCAGCAGCAACTGCTCGTCATCGTAGGGGGTCATCACGCCCACGCCCACTCCGACTCCCACACCAACTCCAACTCCCACGCCCACTCCGGCCCCAATGTGGCCATGCTGCAGGCCCTGGTGAAAGTCCATCAGGTGGTTATTGTTGTTGTTATTATTATGGTTGTTATTATTGTTGCCGGTGCTCCCGCTCGTGTTCACCACGCTGGCCATGTTGATGCCATTGATGCCGCAGGGCGAGGGCAAAACACAGGCGTGCTTGATGTCCGGAAAACCATCGCTGGGCTCAAACAGGAACCTTTCCGCACTGAGGGCGGTGGTGTAGGGGCTCTGCGAGTCCACCAGCTCGTTCTTCACAAACTCAATGGCGCTGCTGGTGGCGGTGGGCGTTGTGCTGCTCGTGGCGTTGCTGCTGTGGCTACTGATGTTGCTGTTGTTATTGCTGGTGTTGCTGCTGGCGCCGCTGCTGCTGTTGTGACTGGGATGGCTGCTGCCACTGCCAGTCAGGCCGTCGCAGTTGGGCACGTAGTCGGAAATCAGGCTGGGACTGGGATTGGCCTGCTGCTGGTCAACCACATTGCTGCCGGCGGGATTCAGGGACTGTGGCTGCTGCTGCTGCTGCTGGTAGCCGGCATGCTCGAATTCCTGGGCGCTGGGCGACGGCTTGCAGTAGCCAGTGGGCAGTTGTTGGGCCATGGCCGCCGCCGTTTTGGAGCCATACTTGAAGGTGGCCATCGAGGGTATGCTCTGCAGCCGCTGGTTGTTGTTGTTGCCGGAGTTGGGACCGTCGTTGCTCACCGTTTCCAGTTCCAGTTCGCTGAGGTACTTCTGGGCCGGCGATTGGAGCAGTTGGCTAGGCAATTGGCAGCCTCCGGCTCGCTGGCAACCGTGCGATTTCAGCATGTCCATCAGCTTTTGGCGTTCGGTTTCCAGCTGACGCACCTGGTTCTTCAGCTCCACATTTTGGGTGTCCAGGACCTCCGACTCCCTGATCAGATTCTGTGTGCGTTCGCGCTTCTTCATTCGGCACTTGGTGGCCGCAATCTTATTCCGTTCGCGGCGTCTTCGCCGTCGGTCCTCGTCCTCCGGAGTAAGGCCCTTGGGTTGCGACTTGGTCTCGCTGTCGTCATCGCTCGACTCCTCGCAGTCGTCGTCCAAATCGTTGGCGTTGCTCATGCTGCCGCTGTAGTTGTTGTTGCTGCTGCCGCTGTGCCCGTTGTGGTTGCTACTGCGTCGCGAGTACTTGGAGTGCGGCTGCTCCGATCCGGAGCTTGAGTCGCAGGTGGACAGCTTGCGCTTGCTCTGGATGGACAGCTTCAGGCCCTCCTTGATCAGGCGCGAACAGGTCTGCAAAGATCGAAGTTAGAGAGTGAGTTAGCGTTTAGACTCAGCTCATATGACCAAATATCCGTTCTACAGCGTATTTTTAGGCTACAAACGTATTTCGGTATTTCGCCCTATGTGCACCTAACAAATGTGGTTGATATAATATGAAGAACTGGAACTCAGACCGAGATATATAACTTTAATTTAAATTCCTGTCATCCGTGTGAGTTTCCCCGGGAATTGGCTAAGGTTTCCGAGTGAGAGCTCGACACAGTTTATCGAGAGTTGGACGCAGATATAAAGATATGACGAATCGCGGTCCGTTTTCTTGGGAGCAGATTATCTAAAGCGGCTTTTTTGGCATTGTTTGTTTGTTTATTTGCCCGGTGATTTACTCAAGCAACCTTTTTCGCGCTTTTTGGCTTAGGGCTTGGCATCTGGATTTGGGTTTGGACTTGGGTTTGGGGACACTCGAGTTGTTCATGAATTATAAATATTACAGTGAGCAGATAGAAATCTGCGACAATCACCACGCCCAGAAAGTTTAGTGTTCAGTGCTGCTCTCTGTACCGAGACAAGTGCATACGGCATACTCGATGAAGTTCACGAAAGTTGTGGGTGGGCTTACGAAAACAGAAACTGAAAACTGAAATCCGAAAACTGAAAACCGAAAACCGAAGACAGAAGACAGAAGTAACCTCGATCTCGATATCCAGGCTGCACTGGGTCAGTTCCATTTATGGAGGAGCTCCAGAGCCCCAGAGCCCCAGACAGGAACAGATGGTCATCACTCTGCTCCGCGCACTGTGTCAACTTTCGTTGATTGACTGCGTACTGCATTCAGCTATATGAGCTGCTAAAATACCCTTAGTTGATTGCACAACTGTCTATGCAACTTTTGTTAGGTTTCTGAACTAAATATCAACTAAAAGTCGGTAGCTGCTTTATTATTACTTTTGTATTAAAAAGTTAGCCGATTATTCTGCAGGTCATTGAATTGTCGGCCAGGCCGATGTGTTTACTTTATTTTTTCGTTATTTTTTCTCTGGTTTTCCCTTTTTGCGCACTTTGTTTGTTGTCTGCTCGAGAAATTGTTCGGATGCCACTGATTGAACGCGCCCTTCTTTTCAATGTTGCCTTTGCGCTTCTGTTAATTTCTCGGCATTTCGGCATCGGGTTCCATTTGAATTTTAGGCACGCTGCGCTATATTTATTGACCCAGAAATCAGATAAATAAATTTTGTGTTTAAAAAGCGACAAGTAAGGAATGCCGAAATCGAAATCCAAAACAAAATCATAATAATCGCATGCGCCAAGCCCCCTACTCCGCCAAAAAATCCAAGACACTGGCAAATCGGAGCCAGTACATGACCATATGGTCATATGGTCAGCGTCGACTCAATAAGTCGGACGAAGTCTGTTGGAAAATTGTGCAATTGCGCCGGGGGAAATCTGAATCTGGATGGAGATGTACATATGTATGTAAGACGGCACAGGTTGCGGCTTCAGTCAAAGAGTCCGTATAGACATACGTACATATATACGAGTACATATATATTTAGAGGCACACATTTTGTATCTACGCATCTGTGGAGTTCTCTCAGGATTTTTCTTTCTGAATCTGAAAGACCCAACGGAACGAACGAGCCTTTCTTTGCACTTCGCATCGCTGCAACTTTAGTCGCAAAATTCACCCGAAAACGTATTAAAGAGCCAATTTTTCGGGCTGGCAAATTTGCATTTTGTTTGGCTTGTTTGCACTTTTGCACATTTCTCGCTCGTTCTGTTTGCCGTTCTTATTATTTATCCCCATTTCACAATTTCCCCTCCTCCTCTGCCCCCTTTTTCGGCAACATTTGTGCAAATATTTGGCCTGCGCAGAAAAACAAAAACACACAGAGGACAGGAAACCTTTGAATGAGTCCGAATCCAGGTCCGAGTCTTCAGGGTTCAACTAGGGGTCGAAAACCCTGCTAAATTTGAATTGCAATAAAACAATGTTCGCCCGTTCCCCGAAAGGTTTGAAGAAACGTTGTAAAACAGACAAAACACAATTTCTGAATTTCTGAAATTGGGGACCACTATTCTGAAGTTTCTTCCCTTACGTGAGTTGTGTTTTCCCAACTCGGACTTGCTTGCTTTTCACTAATTTTCCTCCATCGTAATTCACCGGAATCATGCACAAGCACTTGTAGTATCAATCTGGCTTTAATCTGGCCGCATCAATTTGGCCCGTTTCATTCATTCATTTATCCGATGACTGTTTTGCCCACGCAGCACACTCTGCCGTGCAAATTCGACCCACGCACACTCCACTGGCCACTGACCATTGGTCTGTCTGTCTGTCCGTCCGCCCGTTTGTCCATTTGTCCGTAAGTTTGTCCGTCCGTATGACAACGACGTGAGCATCGGCGCTGAGTGGGCGTCAATTGCAAGACGCAGCGAGAATTGATTTCACTTTTGCGGCGCTGAGTTCGAGTATCTGCATCTGAATCTGCCTCTGCCTCTGCCTCTGCTGAACTGAAGCTGAATCTGAGTCTCAGTGCGAGTGGGGAGAATTACTCTTGACTGGCTGGCTGGCTGGCTGGCTGGCTGGCTGGCTGGCTGGCTGCCTGACATTGGCCTTAATGAGGCACGTAGCTGCGGTGGTGTCAACTTCAGCGATTAATTCCACATGCTAGCTAAAGGCCGCCGATTCGATCCGATCCGATCTCTGGCGTTGTGCAACGAACGCATCCCTAGTCCGCTCCCCTTCCGCTCCCATTCCGCTCCCGCTTCTAGCAATAATTGGCAGGTGTCTATAGACTATATAAGTCCCGTCGCCTCCCTCCGCCATCCGCTAACCTTTAGCCGTGTGTGCAAATGTGATTTATGATTATTACTTGAAACGAATTTATAGGCGTTGTGCCAGCGCGGGTTTTAATTGCTGCAACAACGGGGTGAAAGAAAGAGGCATCCCAACGTCTTTTTAATTTTTTTGTTTTTTTTGTTTCTTTTTTTTTAACTAATTCCCCATAAATTAGAATCTCCGAACGTTTTGCCAGGCGGTTTGTGTATTATTCGAATTACGGTGCCTCCAGCAGCATCTCATAAGCTTACAGTTGGTGGTACTAATTTAAATTCTACAAGACTGATCGAATTACCTGTTGCACGCTGGGCGTGGTGGCCGTGCCCGCTGGGGAGTCGAGCGGTGATCCGGAGCAACTGGAATGACTGCTGTCCTGCGAGTGCGACTGCAAGTACACATAAAGTATACGCATATTGAGTATACGCCATGTGACGCATCCACTCGATGGATATGGTGGACATGGTGGAAAACGCTCACCTGACCATTGGGATGACCATTGAAATGGCGCACGGTGACCACCGGCGTGGTGGCGGCACTGCAGGATGCAGATGAGGATGCCGCCGCCGCCGCCGCCGCCGCTGCTGAAGTGTAGCTGAAGCTCTCCAGCGGATTGGTCATGGCAATTAGCGAGTTGAGGATCTCTGGCGTCTTGGGCGTATGGCCGCCCATCAGGAGGCCGCCGCTGTCGATGCTCAGCAGCGAGGAGGCCGGTATGTTGCAATTGAACATGGTTGACGGTTGCACGCACGGTAAATAAAGCGAAAAACTAAACCGAACTAAAATTAATCGTAACGAACTGGGGTTTTTTCTTTTTTGTTTGCTATGTATTGTTAGATCACAGTTAAAGGCCTACGCGTTGCATTTCTTTTGTTGGACAGTTCAAAAAGTTTTCTTCTATATATCTCCTGTGTATATGTGTATTTGTATATATAGATTGGGGTAATAGAGGCACACACTTTTCACACTTTATCGCTTATCACATGTCAAACTCGAAGAGTTCTTGCTCTCTAGAGTGTTTCCGTCGGTTCGATTGGGGTTCTGGGGTTCGATTGGGGGCCGGCAGAGGAGTAGGGTCGATCCATCGGTTCCATCGGCTCAGGTCCCCGACTTATGTTGTTGCTCAGAGCGCTAAGGCCGAGCGAATGCGTTGAACGTCGAGCAGCCGGCACCTCCCTTCACATTGGCATCGAATCTGCAAAATTCACAGAGACAAAACACAAAAAGAGAGTTAGTGAGTAATTGAGTGAGTGGGAGAGGAGCGGCAGATATGATGTGGATATATGCATGTACACATGGATAGAGAGAGAGCCACGAACGTGAGTGCACCATGTCAACGTAAACAAAAGCAATTAAATTATAAAATAAACTCGGCTAAATTGATTTATGTAAGTCTCCGCGAATCGGCGAACCGGCGAAGCGCGTGACACGCGATCGAGCTTACAAATCACGATTGAACGTGATTGATCACGCACCCGAAACGCCACAGCCCCCACCCCCACCTACCACCCTTCTCGCACATATTCAGCACGCCTCAATTAAGCCATTAATCGGCTAATTGAGACCAGGTCCACCGGCCAAATAGCCAATACAGATCGGGCTGTATCTGTATCTGTACGTACATATGTGTGCATGCATAGACAATTAGAATGTACAGAGGGGGCAACCACCCCCCCTGGTTTCGAGGGGCGACACACACATTCCGATCGGGTTGTGCGAGGTGAAGGTGAGCAGAAGGAGAAATTGCAGCGAAATTCCTCGGCGGCAATTGAAACGGAATTGAAATGCAATTGAAGGCAATCATCCATGAATTCGCTTGACTCCCGAGTACCCCTAAATGGGGGCGATATAAGTAGTGGGAGTACTGTAATCTAAAACTAGAGCTCAATCAAAAGGGAATCCACTCATTACCGAACCCGAACACTGCTGGATTGACCCACTCAGGGGGTTATGGAGTTGCGCTTGAGTTTAAATTCAGTTCCCTACACAAAACGTGAATCCCTGCAATCACGTTGATAAGTAGAATATCTACAACTGTGGCATTTCGAACCGGGAACTCCCCACGTAATTGCACACAAATTTCTCCCAAGTTATTTCTTCCCCAATCACTTGTGCCACTTCCAAGATGAACTATTTGGCATGGAAGGGCGGGCATTACTCTGGAAATAAGATGCTGGCGCGAAAGGGGCGCAATTTCGCTCAAAATTTGGTCTGTGCGCATTTTGCCTTTCTGCTGCTGCTGTCTCTCGGCCATTTATCATATGGCCAGAAAGAAGTGTGTGCACTTGTGGTAATGCCTGTGCTCATATGTGTGTGTGTGTGTGTATATGTGTGACGTGCTATATACATTTTAGACCCCCCACCACACACACACACACACACATACAAACGCACACACAAATTTTCCCCCAGTCCGTTCCGAACCGAAATTCAGTCAGCAGCGAACAACAAAACGTAGGCAGTATAAAGAATTATGATTTATGACTTTCGCATGTTTCTTTATTTTCGTTGGGGCTCGGGGTTTCGTTGTTTGTGAGAGCTTTTAATACCTTACTGCCTTTGATGTGGCTCTTTTACCCGTATTCTACTGCAGCGAAAAATCACTTTTGACATTCGTGTCGAACAAATTGCAAAAATCGCACAAAACGCACATAAAATCGCAATTTGGCCCGACTCTTGGCTTCTACTTGAGGTCCGGCTGTGTTGGCAATGCTCTAACCAATTTTGACCAAATGTGGCGGACGTCAACTTCAAAATCAGCGGCATCGATAGCAAACTGCGCATGCGTGGCCTCCCCGAGAACTTTTGGGGTCACGGCAACTGAAAACTTCTACTCTTATAAGCATAATTTGAAATGTTCTGCTTAAGGATCACAAGTGGTGCTGAAACTTTCCATGCACTATTTGGAATATATGAGAATAAATTCATATTAGAATATTGCTTCAGATTGCGCATACGTCGCGTGGCCATAGAGCGACTGTTAAAATTAGCAGGATTGGTCAGACGATTCTCTCGGAAACCTTTTAGCTGCACTTTCCACATTGACATTCCTCGGCTGATCCGCTGCCACTTGGAAATAAAGTGATTTGCGGCTGATTTGTGGCTGGCATGTGAATTGGCCTCAAGTGTGCGAGTTTTTGCTGCCAGTCCGAGCCAAACCGATCGATGGCTACCAGATTGGAGAGCACGGCAAATGGCCAAGTGGCTAAATGGCTAAATGGCCAGAGAACCGGAGAGCACAAGCTTTCGTAACGAGTGATGAAGATATATGGAGATATCTCGTGTGGCGATCCAATCGAGCTGCTGGGGTATCCATCTTTCGACTAATCAGCAAGTGCCATTGAATTTAACTGGCGAGCATAAAACCAAAATATTCTAGCAAATAGCTGATTGTTTTTATTGCACTATAACTCATCTATCGTTTGCATCGACACAAGTTTCCTAAGGGCATTACTAATCAAGTTATCTAACGACGTATTCCCTCTAATATTTAATAGCGTTCCATGTTAATTGAGTTAAACTGCGGCATTACAATAACGTTAGTACGATTTATTCACTATTGTTGAGAAACTTCCAAATTTATCGGGGTATACACTTTGGTCACGTACATAGCTATCCGAAATATCCCAAAACTGTGACTGACTGGTGACTCAGAGACTGATTCGAATTCGGATTCATATTTGGATTGGAATTGGGATTGGGATTCCATTTGCATACGATTAGCAGAGTGGTCGAATGCAAATGAATGGATTGTCAGCCGGCGGAATTGCACAACAAGCGTTATATTAATAACACCTCATAATTGCGATACATACTCGTAATGATCGAGGTTGAGGAGGTTGAGCACGGACCTGCATTTATCACTGGGGCGTGCGATGTGAAAACGCCGCATAAGTACATTGAGCATTTGAGTTATAATACATGAAAAGTATATACATTTTGTCCGTACATCTGCCGCCACCAACAATTATCGGTTTGGTTTGGGTTCGGTTCGTTTGGCTACGTGCCTGGCTCGCACTCCACATTTCACACGAGCCACTGACTAAGTGGGGGAAAAGGCCAAGTAAATTTTCGAAAACATGCATTCAAAAGTGGGGAAGAGCAGGGAAAACGAAGCGTACGAAAGAGTACGCATACATTGCCAATATACACAGTTTGACCTCTCTGTTGGCATGATCAAGTAATCGAAATGAGTTTATTATAACAAAATTTGCAAAAAATGGCCAAAAAACGTAATTCCTATTTTTTGATACTGTTCGATTGGAAATTTAAATACGAGCTCAACGATGTATGACAATCCATATTCAGACAATTATTTTTAAAGTTGTGGTCAAAAAACGGATTATTTTATGTCGCAAAATCGGAAAAACGACCTTTGGCAAATATTCGATATTTTCGATGGGAATTTTCATCATAACTTCCATAAAAATGATCGAAAAGATGAAAGAATGACAGTTTTGAGCAGCTAATTACCAACGCTAACCATCCCTATTACTTTTTGACGGAGTTGGGAAAATACATTTTTTTTTTATTTTTTGCCTTTTTTGTAAGGGGTGACATCAACAAAATTTGCAAAAAATGTCAAAAAAATTAAGTTTTTATTTTTGGATACAGTTTGATTGGAAATTTAAATACGATCTCAACGATGTATGACATTCCATATGCAGACAATTATTTTTAAAGTTGTGGTCAAAAAACTATTATTTGTTGTCGGAAAACGGCTTTTAATAAATAAAAAAAAAAAGAATGTATCTAGAACAATCTGGATTCCTGCTCCGAATTCTCTTTGAATCTTTTGCTGTTGATGCTGTGGTGGAGCTGTGGTGATGCTTGGCCTCCACTTCATTGTAAAAGAATGTAAACTTTGCCACCCTTCCGCTGCCTTCCGCATCCCTTTGCAGTTCTTATTCTGGCTACGATTGCGCTATTCATATTCCGAAATGGATTTGAGCTAGAAGTAGTTGGATATTGTGCTGTTCCAGGGTGTGAGAGGGTGTTTGTGCGCCATAAAAACAAACTTTCATTGCCTTCAGTGCCTTCTATTTTGTTTGCTTCCCTGCTGTCTTGGCCGGGCTTAATTAAAAGCGTTACCAAAGCCAAACACAGAAAGACCAAAGCCAACACACACAGCGAGTGCTCGTATCCGATAGATACGAAAAGCGATTCGGCTCCGTGCGGTGCTCTTTTGTCAGCTGTTTTCCAATTAAGTGTCACTGCAGCCAGGGGGCAGCAAATCTCCGCAGAGGGGCCACAAATTTACACTGTAATTAGGCATTTAGATAGTGTATATATCTGCAATTTGATTAGTTTGCTAATTGCAGGTGGTGGGTGGGGGGTTCTGATGTGGCGTGGTCGAGGGCGGGGGCGGGTGCGGGGTGAATAACCATAAACCCTTGCTTGGCCATTAACATAAAACTTTACGAATGGCCCATAGAAGAGCGTTCGAGATTGGGACTGCCCCATCCTCCTTGCTGAAAATGGGCCGCGTGGCGATTCAATTAATTTATTATTCACTTAAGAGCACAACGGGCACGCCGGGGGGAGGCACACGCATACATACATACATCGGGGGATCGGAGATGACATAAAGCTGTTATAAAAATTAAGCGCATACTGTGAGGAAAAGGAAAAGCCAACTGGCTGGGAACTCTCGCGCATTCCAACTGCGTCCCGCTGTCGTGCCAAAAATGTCCTGACAGCGGGGGTGCGGAGTGCAGGGTGCAGGGTGGTAGGTGGTTGGTGGTTGGTGGCGATGGAGAACGCGCTGCGCAAGTATTTCAGCTATAAACATTTCAGCGCACGTTCCAGGCGCTCATTTTGGGAGCCACACAACAAGACGGACCCACAGAGACACAAGTATTAAAACTGTTCTGCAGATACAAGGGAATGGGTCGAGAACCGAATTGTGAAGTACCCTCTAACAATGTTTCGCTCCGAAAGTTTCATAGCTTAGCAGCGACGGAGCTGCAAAGTAATGCTGAAGAAGCCCCATTCTTGGAAATTTTAAAAGAATTTTCGTAAGCGCAAGCAACTATTCCACGTATACGAATTATGGTTTTGATGAGTAGCTTAGAGCTGAAATGTATCTATCTCGTAAACTTACCCGCATAGCCATCAAGCGTATCGCAGGCCATAAAACTAAAACTGTCAGCAGAGAAGTGAATAAAACGCTTCGAAAATGGAAAATTATGGAAATGAATTGGTACTGGTACAGCAGGATTTTGGGGAGGAAAGCAACTTGGCAAGTGAAAATATTTTGGGCTAACTCTTGGGGTTGAAAACTGCTGTAACTTCTACACATTTCACTTTAATCACGAAACTATAGTTCAATCGAAAATGTTTAGTATATCTGTTACATGCACCTCAGAGATATCAAAGTATCTGAGCATTTATCAGTATCTGAGGAGCGAGGCGTCATTAGTCACTGCCCTCAGATAAGCGAAGCCAGTGGAGTGCAGCGGAGATACGCCACTTGCGAGGTGTGCAAGGACGTTCGCAATCTGTGCTTTCATTAAAGTTTGTGTTTTTATCAGGCTTATCGGACCGCTGCGTGTCAAAAGATGTCTTATCGGTGGAAGGTACGGGCAAATCTTATCTGCCCGTTGCTGAGTTGCTGTTGGCTACCCTCTTAGCTCTCGACTCGCCTGCCTCCTGTTACCCTGTACTCCCGTACTCCCGTACTCCAGCTCCCCGGTAGTCCAGCTATCCGGTAATGCTGTTCGATTTGGCAGAATCTAATTAATTTCCAGAGCTAATTCACTTTGTGACAACGACGCGATTTATGTTGATTAAGGTGACATTATCGCTTCTGCTCGCCGTTTGCGTGTTCTTTTTATTTATTGTTATTTATGGCCACTCTTGGCCCCACTTTGTGAGTGGAATTTTATCAAACAGCGCTTTTACTTTGTTTGCTGTGTGGTTTTGTTTGTTTTTCGGCGGCTTTTCGTCTCCAAAGCGATTTAGCGCACTTTTCGCACCTTGTTCTGGGCCGGCCATTGAAAAATGAAAAAAAAAAATTAAAACATGGGAAAATAGATAGATACATTTGTATCTGCTAGATTCTCCCGGCCATGCGACAGCTGTCTGTGCAAAAGCAAAAGCAATATATCTATGAAATGGAGACGGAGGCCAACACTGATCATCATCATCATCATCGTGTTCATGTTCATCGTCATCTTAGTGGTTTTTATGAAGGAATTCGCATTAAAAGTCTTTATTGTGTTTATTTATTGCGAACGGCAATCGAGAACGGCCAAAATGGAGACTTAGATACACAGCTACGGAGTGAATCTAATGGAAATTTCCGACTGGCGACGCTGTAACTGAAAATGCAGAGGCGTCAGTCGAGGGCAGTGGCAAGGGGCAAGTGGCACGGGGTAAGGGGTAAGGGGCAGTTCGTGGTCAATTCCTACACAGCTGGCAGCTGCTTTGGGTTCGGGGAAATCCCTGAATCGCGCATAAATACACAGCGTTTTTTGTTTGGCAGTTTATTGCGCGGAAAGAGAATTCCTGGCCTGAAGGACATTATGTGCAGAGTCTAATTAAATTAAACTTTGTGGGTAGTTTTCAAAATCCCCGAAAGAATTGTCAAAATGTACGCACCTGGGGGAGTGCCAAGAAAAGAAGTGTCAGTAAAAAGGGAATCGGAATTGGAATTGGAAAGCCAGGTGATAAACGCAGGGAAGAGCGAGCGACACCAATTAGCGGGCCACAAATGTGTCCCAAAAGTATTTTTCAGCCCAGCCCAAAGGGGCCACGCCCATTGGGGGGTCCCCACTCACACACTCCGAATGTGGCATGTCCTTGACACATATCCTGCCACTTGCTCAGCACGCGTGTGAGTGGAGCAGCCAACGCCTTGTGGGGCTTCGCCAGCGCTTGGCCCTAATCCATTTGAACCGTACCCCTCCCCGGCGCAGTTGCCAACTCGCTCGCTTCAAGGATAATAAAGCGAATTCTCCTAGTTTATGGGCCAGGCGAAACTTTTGTGGCTTCGCCTTCCTTCGGCGCATGTGTGTAGTCGGAGTGCTGTAATATAATCCTAATGGAATTTACACTCAAACTTTACAATGCCTGGCAACAATGGCGAGGACACTGCGTGTCCTTTGTCCTTTGTCCTACGAGGACGTCGTCGGGAATCTTTCTGCTGTGCGAAAGGAAGCAATATAGGCAGCAATGGAGAGGGGAAGGGCATTTGGATATTGATACTTCCGAGTTGGGCTGGGAAAACTTTGCGTTTTATGGGAGGCAAGTCGAAGACCCACAGTTCTAAATGTGGCCAAATAGTAACATTTTATCGGTCGATTCAACATAAGTAGAAGGATAAAGTATAGCAAAAATACAAAAATATCCATAAAAAGTACTTGGTGTTATCAGAAAATGAGGCTGCCGAACGCCAACGGGTTGCTACCCAATGTTGTCTCGCTTGAGTTGCAGGGGGAAATGCTTTTCGGATTTCGATTCAAATTTCGAAGGTCAAGTGCATTAGGGCGCAACGCAAACAGCTCGGAACGCTAGAAAAATAGAATCGCGCCGCGATGGCATTTGTTTTCCTGTCTTTTTGGGCTCCCCCGCAAAAGGGCGTATACAAATTTGCAGGGCGGGATGCGTGCGCAAGCGTTGTAAATCGTGATTTTATTTGATTTGATTTTGAGAGCATGGCAATGGCGGACGTATCCTTGGACTAGCACTGGCTTAATTGTGCGTGTCAGGCGGCCACAAAGCCGCCACATGGACACATGTCCGAGTTCTCTGTTGGGTGTGTTTAACAGGACCAAGGACCCACGAACCAGGAACCAGGACCAAGACAAGGGGTCGTTAAAAAAGGCGGAAATACTGGCGCCGACATAATCATTCCGGCCCCCGCCCGCTTTCGTGGCTATTATGATAATTGAGTGAGCAGAAATGCGAAACACAGACAGACAGGTTAAATTGCGCGTTACTGCCAGAAAATGTGGCAGATTTTCTCCTTCTTGATTGATTTGCACGGGCGAAGAAGGGGGCGAAACAAGTGGGTCGCCCCCACAAGACACAGCAAACGACTCAACTCGGCTGGCGCCCAATTGTCTCGAGGACCCCGAACTGAACCCCCAAAGATGCATTGTATTATTTGCCTTGGTTCCACGATTTCCCCTTTCTTGCCTCCGCACCTAGTGACGCACATAACTCAGGCAACCAACCATCTTAGTTCGAAGCCACCAATTGATTGCGTGCTGAAAATTTGTTGTCTTTGATTGATTTCGCTTGACTTGTTCGTGACGCCTGTGCGTATGCGTAATATTTTCGGTTTGTTTGGCTCTGGTTTGTTTCCAACAGGAAGCTGTGTGGTGTGCCTTTTGAGCAGAAATACATTGCTAGAAGATCTTCGTCGCTGACTGCACTCTACTTACCAATAAATGCAAGAATCGCCGGTCTGCACCACACTGAGCTGAGCTGCAACGAAACAGAGCAGAGGGCAGGGAACTATTAGCATTGATTAGCGTCTAATGTACAAGCCGATGGATGGATGGATGGATGGATGGCCGATGGATTGTGCACGGCATGGATTGAAACCAAAACTGAGACTGGGTTCAGAGTGGATCGCCGGGCCCATCAATAATTGCGGCTTACGGCCATCTATTATGTGTGTTTACTGTGTGTAAAGACGATTGATGGTTATTGATTAGGCAAACGACCCCCGCTCTTGCTGGATATGTGTACTGGTACTGGTACTGGATGTGGATGTGGATGTGGCTATGGACTTTTATGCGACTGGGGTGGCTATACTCGTTTGGCCATGCCGTGAATCATCGCAAAAACAAAAGAAGAAACGATGCTAAAAACAAAACCCGCGTAGGTAGCGCCAATTTTTTAGGCAAACACAAATATAAATAAGCCCCGCCAAATCAAACCACGCCAAACCAACCCAAAAACTAAGCAATCGAATGGCGTTGAGTTCGTCGACTGAAAAATACCCTGTGCGCTGACTGCATTCGGATCAAAGATGTGCTAAACGTACACTCAACTCGAAACAGAGCCGTTTTGGAAACAATCATTTAGAAGAAACCACCTGTTCCAGATACGAAAAAACCCATATACCCTTTGCTCCCGGCCACAAGTAATGGGTGCACAGGCCAAACCAAAGACTGAAAGCAACTGTCCATTAATTTGACTTAAGTCGCGGCTGGGAGGGGATTTGTTTATTTGGCTTTCGTGCCCAGCTGAAATTCTCTCGGTGTGCTGAAACTTTGTACGAGTATTTGGCTTGGTCTCCCAAAATCGCCTCTGGAACCGCTACTTCATTTGCATCGATTGTGTTATTTACACCGAAAATTGCATTTTCTGTTTGCACTCTTTAATGTCATTAATTTGTTTTCGAACTTAACAATGGGATGGGGGTCGGGGATTGGGGATTGTGGATTGGACTACCTGGCAACGGCAGCCGTTTCGGCTTTTTGGTTTTTGTTATTTTGTGCGAATTTTCGCGTCGAGTTCGCATTGAAATGTGCAAAAAAAGTCCAATTAGGTGTAATTAACAGCAATTTTGTTGCGCTGCTGGCCGAAAAGGAGCGATCCGCAGCGAATTGAAATGCCGTTGAAAGTTTAATTGAACCCTTGGTGCCCGAAAAGGTAATGGCTGAAAAGGAATTGAATGGAGCATAAAGGTCCATTTCATCGTAGCAGCTTATTTTGTTATATAAATAAAGCTGCATTGAGTAGATTGGCATGGAAGTTCAATTGTAGTTCTATCAGAATTTGCTTTATACTCGTATAAAACTGGGGACCTAGCATCTAGCTGATTCTGATATTAATCGAGATTTGAGCAAAGCCAGCAGAGCAGGCTTCTAACATGCAGTAATTGCTTGGGCTAATACCTCATTCTCGGCTGGGCGCGATCCATCAGGTTGGGGAATATAGGGGAGGAAATGTGAAGCCCGCGGGCAATGGAAATGGAAATAGAAATGAAAATGTGAATATGGATGTGTTTTATGGCCTCATCAGCGGTAATATTCAATTCAGACTCGTAATATCGAACATTGAATGGGAATGGCAATAGAAATGGAAATGGAGATGCGATCCGATCCGATGCGATGCGAAGCGGTGACCTTGACTGGATGTAGTCGATCGGGGGCTCTCTTAATGAACGGAGAATCAAGCTGGAGATAGGGTCTCGAAATGGGGGGCAATTTGTGTGTGGCTCTAATGTCTATTCGGGGCAATTAACCAACAACGACAGCTGCTCCACAGCTCTACACCGACTGGCGTAGTAAAATTTTAATTTTCGGCTGCGGCACACATTAAAAATTATTTAATTGAGTGATTTTAATTTAGCTTTTCGCCGTTTGCCGTTCGTTTGCTGTTCGCTTCCTCGCCTTCAGCCACTTGAGACTGAGTAGCCGATGCTGATTGTCTAATTTCATTAATCTAGGCGCACAGGGGGAGCTGGCCAGCACTCAAAGTGAATGAATCTAAACGACTGGCAGAATGCCAGTCAAACGCTCGTTTTGACCCACTGTGCGCGCTCTTTGTCAATTAGAATCTAGAATTTGACCTCTGTGCACTGCACTAGGAAGGGAAAGTAAGTAGATCGATTCGGAATCGGTTCATTGCGTGGGACCGTCCGGCATAAATCACACTTGAGTGCCGCCAGCGTTTGAACCAGAGCAGAAATAATCGCTTAATTAGCCACCGGGCAAGTGCACCATGAGCCTTCTAGGGGGTCCCACTGGCGCCAGGCGAAATCCGTTTGGCAGCCGATACGGGGGAACTGCCAAAAAAAGATGCAAAGTCGGATAGTAGGCGACTCAGTAAGATGTGTTCGATGACCATGTCGAAGAGCCACAGGAACAGATAGCTGATCTGTGATCTCAATCCGCGGTTCACATGCGTAGGCATATAATCTTGAATATAGTATAAACTAATTGGGGGTTATTTGGCAGTCGGATTTATGAATTAAAACTGTAGGCATTGCTTGTAACAATCGGTATGCTAAATCACAAAGCTGAAGTGATTTCCAGCGTATAATCCAACTTTAATTAACGCTTGGCTTATTAACGATTTAGGGAACGTAATCCAGGTGTTCGGAATCTCTTTGCACAGTCCTTCACAATAGGTTGTTACCTCTGTCTGGACTTTCGGTCTTTTTAGACCTAAACACACTGTGTAGTGGGCGTAGGGCATCTCGCCCGTTGAATCTGCCCTGATTTATGGACCTGGCCAGTCGGCCCTCATAATAACATATCGGGGCGTGGCCGGAGCTTAGAGGCCCTCGACTGGGCGACCTTCGGCGACTTAGAGACGGCTTTCCACGCTGGGTTTTTGGGTTTTGGTTTTTTCTGGCTTTCGGCCTGTTATGGGCTTTGTTTTGTCGGCTTCTAATGCTTCCGGTTCCACTCCTCAGACTCAGATGTGTGTTGTAAGTGGAAGGCCTTGCCAGCCCGATAAGATATGGACGTACTGCCGAACAGCTCGCATTGATTACCCGACTTGGCCTGGCCAATTTGGTGGCAAAGTACGATGGTGGCGACCATTAAAAAGTCATTACAAAAGCACAGCACACACATGCATGTATGAGTATGAGTTTTTAGTGGCGCAGGAGGGAGGGGCACCGAGACAAGTACCTGGCATAATTGCAGTGGGGCAATCAAAAGGTTTGGACCGCACACGGGAAGTTCCATGCCCAAGCCGAGTTTTGGATTTCCGCTACAAGTCGTCAACATGTCTGCCCCCTTCCGAGGCCACCCCGCCCCCCATGGAGCCCCCGTGTTCCAGTGATGATCACTTAAAGGGTCTCGGATTGACTTGTACTCGTATTTGTCCATTGATAATGAACGTCAATTATCGTGTGCCCGTTTGTTTACTTTGGCTCGGCTTTGGCCCACAGCCTTTTTTCGTTTTCTTTTGCGGCTCCAACTTGGCTAATTTCCCGCTGCCCCCTTCTTATCTCGCCTGGTTTTCTGAGTCCAGACAGCGCCAACACCTTGGCAAACCTCAAACCGCAAACCGCAAACCCGTGATGTATGTAGTAAGTGACTCAGGCTAGTGAACCATTCAAATATTCAAAAGTCAAATATTTTACAAGCAGATTCCTTACTGTCCTTCGCATTGCAAGCGTATCTAAAGGAAAAGTGATAAGGATAAGGCTTTATTACTCTACTAGCACAGTTTGTGGAAAAAATCTTCAGATAAGCCTATCTGTGTAAATTAACCCAATTACCGATGGCACTTGAAGATGAGCTACAAATGAATTGCCTGCAATTACCTAAAACAAAAAACACAGTGTCGAGGACCACTTTTCCTTCACTCGTCTAAAGCAATTATAGTGTTGTATTTTAAATATCTTCTTTGTGATACACTCAAAGTACAGAACGCGATAAATTTTCGACGCCTTGTGGTGCCTTTGATCTTTAAACAAAAGGAATTCAATAAAACTTATTTATTTGCCACCTAAGACGAGAACTGGCTGGCAGCGAGATTAGATGGGAACTGGTGGCACTTGGAAAGCCATTAAGTGTCTGCCGAACTATTTAGATGTCCGGCAACAACATTGGCCCAGTCTCAAGGCGATCTTGGCACACTTTGAGCATAAATTTGGATCCATTCGCATGAGTGTTTATATCCAGATACTCATACTTGTATGTATATACTCGTACATAGTAGATACATCATAAGCGGTGGGTGGTTGCGGATGGATCTTGTTGGGCGCCGCCTTTTTGTGTTGTCGCGGCTTAAATCGGGCGGCATTATTACAGTAATTGATTGATTGATTAACTTGCAGTCGGTAATTGAATTGAAAAGTGACCGCCGGGCATGTGCCGCTGCCATATGGGCGTGGCACTTGACGATCGGTCGTGTCGGCGCAGTTGTTGTAGTTTTGCAACAGTTGTCGCTTCAATGTCGCCGCTTTTCAGTTGCAAATTAATGCTGACAATGCAGCAGAAATAGATACGTCGGAATTTTATGTACGCTGCCCTATCTGTACGAGTATGTGCACATCCGATGCGATCTTGATGCGATCTATCTATCTATCCGTAACAAAATGGAACAATCGACCGACTGTCCCAGCGGCGAGTAAAAAACAAAAAAGAGCGAATACACATTCGCAAGCACATCCAGCCAAAAGCGATAAAACAATCGTAAAAATGCGACAAACGAAGTGGTGGAAATTCATACAAAGTAGCAAAAAATGCAAAAACAATAAGTTGTAAATCCAAACTGGGAGGGAAATAGTTGAGAAGTTCGTTAACGAAAATAATAAGGGCCTAGGCTCACAAAAATACATTTTCTACACCTACTCTGTGATGTAAGACCTTCTACGAGACTTCGGTTTGCTTGGGTATTTACATTTACTGAGCGGGGTATGATTATGATTATCATTACGATTATGAGACAACAAATATTTGATTGGTCGTCGTTGTTTTTGGATTTTTTCGTTGTGCTGACTTTATGATATTTTAATTTATTTTGAATACCAAATGAATGGCATATTGTTTTAAATGGATGTTCGAATGGGTTTGTTTCGATTGCTAATTAGCATAGCAGAAAAAAAGTTGAACAAAGCTCGGAAATACAAACTAAAATAAATACATAGATGTAGAAGTAGAAATATCCGACTGTGCGAGGGAAACAAACAAAAAAACGGGGGAAAACGAAGAAATACTAAAGAGAAACTAGTTTTGTCTAATGAATGACGGTGTGCGTGAATGGGAAGTTTCAGATAGGGATGGAAAAAAATATACATATATATTTGTATATATACATAGAAATACAGAGAATATGGCAAATGAAATGCCAATGAACCAAAGAGGCCAAATAGCTATTTTTCTTTTATTTCTATGCCGCTCATTTGATTTGCTTTGAATAATTTATGAATGCTTTTGCCATTTGGCAAATGCAAAAAGGAGGAAAACGATTCCGCACCAAAACTTATGGCCACTGGCCATTCGAAAGTCGCCAGTCGGAAATGGGTATGGGAATGGGAATTGGAATGGCCGGTGAACTGGGCGTGGATTCGGGATTGGATCGGGGATTTCGGGTCGCAATGTTGCACTTCCAAATCAGTCAGCGTGTCAGCAGGAAAGACTGGGTGACTAATAGAAAAACTTGCCGCTCGCTGGCGAATTTTTCTTAGTCGAGCTTGAACGAGAAATATCGACGACTCCCACCCACAAGTCCCAAACACCCACACACAGATACACACACGCAAACACTCGGAGCAGCAAAGTGTAACGAAGTTAGAAATCCACACACAAAACAAAAAGCTTTTAACGCCCACGCCAAGGCCAGAGCTAATTTGCATATCTCGACGCGCATACGCGAAACAAAAACCAAAACCAAAAACACCAAATAAACGGCGAGTCTCTGTTCTACATGCCCGAAAGTACATGAATACATAAGAGGGGCTCCGAATGAAGACAACTCAATAAACTTTGGATGGAAGGCGCCAGCTGTGCAGGAAACCCTGAAAGTCCAGGCATAGTTTCGGGGTCACCAAATGGACATATGCGTATCCATTTCGAAGTGCATAGGTACGTAGCTCTACCCAATTTAAATACATATATGTTCATAGCTCCGTATGTATTTGCAGTTCCAAAGTGGCGTATCAATTAAGCGGCGACATGTCATCGACCTATGGCTAGAGATGCTCCGCTACTGCTGGCCCATGCAAAGATACTGGCTACCTTGAAGTTAGCATCGCATATGGTCACCAAGACACAGCAACCCGTGACCCGACTGGGGGTCGCCAGGTGGTCTATGCTAAGTTTCGGGCCTCTATGCTCCGGATATCCATGCTAATGTACTCGCCATTGTACATGCTCGTATGTACAATGGGGCCACCCATGTGCGTGTGTAACTAAATACAATGCAAATTTCTTTCAACTCAATTACTCAAACGCAAGAACAACAACCGTCGAAATACATTATCGCACAGACACACAACGCACATGCAAATTATATATATTTTACACCCCCATGACGTTGCAGGGGCATAATTAATTAGTTAAACGGGGCACGGAACTTGGACCGACTCGACTGTTTGCCGGCTCTCGGGTTTTCGTGTTCTCGAATTCTCGGGTTCTGGGCTTCGAGTTCCCATTTTTTTTCGGGCATTGTGCTAATGAGTCCATATTGTATGAAAAACAGCAGCTACAACAAAAACAGAGCCAGCAAACAAATATCGCACAAAATAAAACGGAAACGTGGCCAAAAGCAGACAAACAGTGTTGCCAAATGCTGTCTTACGAATTTCCAAATTAACAAAATGCTGCCAAGTGCAGGCGAATCTACTTCACTTGTCATATGCCTGGCACGAGAATAACTTAAAGCGAATACTTAACATATTGAACGCAAGAATCAAGCTCTTTAAGTGTCCTTCAGTGTATTGAACCTCCACACTTTTGATTTCGAAAGCCGAATGAGAAGAACAGCTTGGGTGACAACTCTGGTGGGGGCAGCTATTAAAATGGATTCCCGCCGGACTTCCTGGCCATATCACATTACCAGCTGCCTCGCCGCTGCCCCGTGCCTGTCCTCCCGTTTGCCAGTTTGTCTGATGGACATGACCCAAAAAACAACAACGGGGTAAGTGACCCATAAAACACGATATGCAGCAGCGAAAGTAATGACACGGAGAAAGCACGGAGAAGCAGACAGAGAAGCCAAACCTTCGGGTTCGAGCCAAGCCCTCGCGCACACTGCATTAATATGATTAGCAGGAGGATATGGCCACGAAGCCGGGAACGAGGAGAGGAGTCCAACTAATGCCATTTCCTGAACGCGCCCAATGCCCAATGCCCAGTGTTCCGATGTCCCAATGTCGGTGGAAGGTCATTCTCGGGCGCCGTGGGACAGAAGTTGACCTACCATATGGCTCAGCCATCTAACAAACACACACAGCGCCGCGAATGCTGAAGAATAAGAAGCCAACTTCATACACCAGCTCCAAAAATGAGTAGCTCAGAGTGCAGCCCACGTGCTTCGGGCTCAGTTGGGTAGGGGAACCGATTCGAGGGGCTATGTATCTTTTGGGTTTCTGTGTATCTGTGTATCCGTGTGGGCCGACTTCAAATACGCCAGCTACGGAAGTGCAGCCGCCAACGTGGCGGCAAGACCACTCACATAGCCGGAATATTTTGCTGAAAATTCGCAAATACCTCGTCCTCCGGGGAATCGAAATTCAGATCCAGCGTAGATCGCAATCTGTAGGTCAAGCCACACGGCTCAAACTCTTTCTCCTCGTTGGCTCAAGTTAGTTGTGAGCTTCGTTTGATTGATATCCGATTAGCCCACACCTGCTGCTTGCCTCTTTCCCAGCGACTTTTGTCGAGGAAGTTTGGCTGAACACTCAATTTCCCTATGCAAATTAACAGCACAGCATTTTTGGTGGGGCACAGCATTTGTGATGCTTTTTGTTGTATCTTTGGACTTTTTTTCTCCCCATTTTTTTTCCAGTTTGGACCTTGAACAAGGTGATGTTGATTGCTAAGTTGCTGTTGCTAGTGCTGCGGATCGCTGCTATTGTTGTCGACACCTCGTTGTTGTTTTGAAGTTCAAAGTTAACGAAACGAGTCGAAAGAGAGACGAGACAAGACGAAACGCAGCCGAGGAGGAGGAGGAAGCACGGGCAATGCAAAGAAAACAAGAAAAGGGGCAGGGGCCCTCCGACAATCGACAATTTAAACATGGGAGATGAGCAGAGTTGCAGACAACACGGCGTATGCGTAATCAATCAACTGATGTGGATGGATGGCCAAAAAACAAAGGTGAGTGTGGTGGGGCACAACTGTGCATGCTGAGTGCAATTCTTATCTAGACTGGACTATAGAAATGGGGGAAAATTGCCGGGCGACTATTTATACCTGTTATGCTAAAGCCATTCCCAACTTAATTTAATTTAAATGTAAATTTTTGGCAAACCCCCCCTCCACTCTCACTCTCTCTCTCTCGTTCATTAAGAATTCATTAAATTCATCAAATGTGTGTGCTGTTTCTGATCATTTTTTGCCTGCTTAATCTTATATTGCGCAATGATTCGCCGCATCCAGATACTTATATACCAGGGCTCCCATACAGACACAGATACTCTTGAACCCGCGCACGAGGTGACAAATTGCCTTTTGATGTTGGCAACTCAATCAGTCGACCTTGAGGTTGCATCTTAAGCCCAGTTGCCTGCCCCACTCCAGCATTCATTTCCCTCCCTGCCAGCAATTTGTTTGTCAAATTTTTTGTGTTTTAAATAAATTACGAATAATTTGCGTTTTAGTACGACACGAAAAAACGAGGGAAAAATGCTTGAGTTTTCCCATATTTGAGCGACCTTCAACCTCTGCCTGCTCTTTTAATTGTTATATAATTAACATGCGAACTGTTATTATAGTTTATTATTAATAACAATTGTTCGTCTATTCTTGGCGCATCCGACGGTTTTTGATTTCGATTCAGTGCTTTTTTGGCAATATATATTTTTTTGTGTGTTGCGTTTGCCGTCTGATTTTATGGATCAAAAAGCGTAACACCGACAGCCAGACAAAGCGACCCCCCTTTTTGGCTCAGTTCCCCCCTTTTTCCAGTTCTGCCCATCGCAGCGGAAAGTCATTAGCAACCAGCTCCGATTCGGTTTCGGATTTGGATTCGGGCTTCTAATGAGTTTGCCAGCCATTTGTCTTGCGAACGTTGGGGGATAACTAAGCTAAGCAGCTGAAAAATGTTTTCATCTTTCGGGATACGTACGTATGTATGTAGAGCCATATAAAAGTTTAAAATGGAGTTTTGAAGGGAATGCTCGGTTAATGCCATTGGGCTTTCCCTTGAAAAACGTCGTTGGTTTGAGTCATATAATGGAGTTGAAATGATATTGAGAGCTATTTCAGCACACAGTCTGTACACTTCCCAAAAAATTAGCTTGATTTATGTAAATTCCTATTTGAATTTACGGGGGATCTCCGTTTTTGGGGCATTAAGGGCAAACATTTCCGAACATAGCCACGCCCACTGCTTACAAGCTCTCTAGTCGCAGTTGGATTTTGTTTTGGGTATTTGTTTTCTGCTTTAATGGCCCACGCTTTGAACTATTTGCGTTTCCTCTACGTTTCTTCTCTGCTTCTCAGAGGGCTGGAAAACACGATTATGTAGCTATTCTGTTCCTCTTTTTCGCTGGCGAGCGTGAGAAGCAGCTAACTGATTGTTGGAGCCGCCAGTCCATCTTCTCCGCCACGTCCCTGAGCTCAGTTTCCAAGCGCCGCCGCATTTCAAGTTCAATTCAAATTCGAGTTTGTCGTTCCCAAAATACGTGCAACGAAAGCAAAAGTTAAGGCATCTCCCCGACCCCTGCCCCCGCCACTTCCACTGTCCGGGCCAATACTGTTGTGGGCCAATATAGCGCAGCAGAGCATGACGCTTACTGCAATTGAAGTGACCAGAGGAGAGAATGGGAGTGATGACAGCGGCACGCCCCACAAACAGTGCATATGTATCTACTCACATATGGGGTGTTCTATGTTTTGAATATTTTTAAAATGAGATTATATATTGTGTGTATATGCTGAACCCCTTGGGTAACTGGATTTCACCGTATCGAGCGGGTCCTGTAGATGGCGAGGGTGATACAAAGAAGGTGGGGGGTGCGTGTGGCTCGAGGGGTGCCGAAAAGGGGGTGGCATGTCAACGAAACGTAATTTATTGATCAGCATATAAAAAAGTATAGAGTAGCGAAGGAACAAGTGAGCGAACAAAGTGAAATAAAATAAAAATAAAAGCGAGCGCATAAATAAATAAATAAAAGCTACAGCACATAAGAAAATAAAGAAAGAACTTGGCGTTCGTTTTCGGTCCCCTCATTATTTGTTGGCAAAAATAAATTAGAATTAGATACACACACTCGGATACGAAGATACAGCTACAGCTACAGATACAGATACAGTCGGCCAAGAAATGCGTAGATACAGACTACACAACCAACGACGACACATTTCCAGTTTAGCCAAAAATCGGGGAACTGACGGGATGGGGTGGACTGTCGAATACGGTCTCACATATGGCTGCAATTAAGTAATTTTTGGAGCAACAACACAGCGAACGACCGAACACACGATATATGTATAGACAAAACATGCTAGACATACATAGAACGCGAACGAGAAACTGCTCGAAAGGCTAAAAAATAATAGAGAAATACGAAATTAAATCTAAAACGGAACGAAAATTCGACAATTAAACCGAAAAATCGTGATGAAGAAGGGGAGACCCAAAACCCGACCCCACATGAAATGGTATTTGACTGGCCTGGCCTGGCCGGTGCCTTCATATAAAAAAATCCCCAAAACAGATGTGTTCACATTTCTAGCACTCAGTTGCTAGAACTTCTAGCACTCCCGTATAACTCGGAGAAAACCCGAACCCAACGAAAACCAAAACCAAACCCAAAGTACTATTTTCATTATACCCCATAACCGAAATGGTTTGCTTTGAGCTTTATAATCTTATGGATTTACGCACTGTAGCGGCACAATTGTATTAAATATGCTAATTGAGAATATTATTTATTTACTTTCTCAAGCTTTTACTCGGTCTTCCTACTAGAAATGTACTAAAACACTATCAGTGTGACCGCATAAGTATTTCCTTTGGAGTGCCGCGCACACAGCTGCATATTACACACTGTTGGTCACACATTTCCTCATACGAGCATGATGGTTGGGGGCTCTTCTTTTTGTTACTTGGTTGTCTGTACTCCAAGTAACTGCTGTTCTTATTACTTTTTACTTTTATTATGGCTGGAAATTAAGCAGCTACAACAACTTAAGCACAGCACTCGAAAAGAAGCAGAAAAGCAGCCGCAGAGCCAAAAACAAATTTAATGTGCTTCAAGGTTAGCTTAAAAGCAGCGGCGTCGACGTCGACGTCCAAAGCGACGCGCACGAAACGAAAAACAAAATTAACAAAAAACATTGTACAAAAAAAAAAAAAAAAGAACAACAAATGTACGCCAAAAAAGAACGCACAAGAAAATAAAATTCGTGATGAATTTTAAACAATAAATACAAACAACAAACAAATGTTCAGATAGGCATGTTGAATGGGGGATAATGCTTCAAGGGAGGATAGAGGAGGGGGCCAAGGAGAGGTTAGGGCAAAGGTTATACGCAAACATTTTGGGAAAAATTGGTAAAGCCTTGGGACAATCGGTCCCAACTTTCCCAACGAATGCTGTTCTAGATGATGAAACTAGGATTGGTTGCGATACTTTTAACAGTACAACATTCTTATCTCAGTATCTTGCAATTGGAGTGTGTGGCAGTTAGACTACTCTAGTTATTCTAGTATACTTCGGTCTGTATTCGCCTGCTGCTTCTTTTTTCAGTTTCATTTGAAAAGAATTGTTATTTGTGAAGCTTTTACGGCTTCGCATTTTGGACTGTCGACAAGTTGACAAATGGCAAACCGGTTTGGCTTTTGGCCAAGCTCTAACTCCCATGCCCATCCGCTCCGCTCCGCTCCCCTCCCTCCATCCTTCCCGAAAGCGACTAACACTCATTTGGAACGAAGTAAATATATATAAACATATAAACAAATGTATAAATACTCGTTAGCAAATCAAAATGCATACGAAATTTCAACAAATATCGACTGGCTGACCAAACGGGCGAAGAAAGCGCGTAGGCGATCGGCATCGAATCGGGAATTATAATTGGGATTTGTGAATTGAGAATGGAGAATTGGGAATTGCTATTGAAAACGGGATGGGAATCGCAGCGAGGGTTAGGCTCTAAGTACGAACATCAATTGGCTAATCAATTTGCCCAAAAGTGAATTGAACGCATTAAGCTGATTGCCAGTCGACTACGCCGAATGCGGGCCTCACTGGTTACCCTTCATCTGGCGATTACACGCCGGCATTTTCTGTTGTGCTCAGCTGGCTTGAGGGGTTTCATGATAAACAATATTCAACGACCTGATAGAGACCTGATAGTTTTCATACTCGTATAACTGAGCAGACTACACCTGTGGCGCTGCCTGAACATCCTTATAGCATCATATGGGCAATGCTCCGCTAGATTCCACCTGGTGCTCCATGGGGGCTTACTTGTTGATGTCAGCCCCACTCCTCCTCGTGTTTGCTATATAGTATACATAGTACTGGTCAAATCTGATGAAATGTTTACATTCGCCGCTTGCATTGCGCACTGACTAACAGGGGATAGAGGGGTTCACGTATTTGTTCATGCTTGCGAGTATTTGCTTGCGGTGACAATTTTCATTGCTTTGGGATGGGAGCACACATGTGCTTGCATTCATACATTTTTGTGGAAATTATTCACGAAAACGTCTGACAGTTTTGTGTCGCTCGCCGCAACTTTTGACAGCTACCTCCGCTCGCATCGAATGGATTTTGTATTCGTTTTCGTATTCGGGGATGGCAGCGACTGACTGACTAGCTGAAAATTGGGATTCGGATTGGGATTGGGATGGTATATGCTGTATGGTTGGCTGCTCGGCTGAAGGGTCTCGGTATCGTTGGCTGGCAAGGCCATAAACTAAGCCCAACTCCCGGACTCCCAGCTTCAGTCGGTGTTCATTAATGCGCACTATGTGCTTAAAACGCCATTTGGGCGTTAGCCGACTGTCTTTCCAGCTGTCTCTCTTTTTGTGAGCAGAAGTGGATCTCAGACACTTGGAAAAATGGTCCAAGTGCCAGTGGGAAAAATAAAACTTAATACGTTAAATTAAAGAAAAAGACATTGTTGGAACTGAATCCAAGTACATCTGCCCCGGTTACTATTCACATAAAACATTACAAGGCCCAATGCTTTTTTCTCAGTGCTCACACATGTCCCGAACATCTTGGGTTGGTTTTTTTTTTTTTTGTTTTTGTTTTTTGGAACATTAGACCCCCTCCCGGAACCCCTTCCCTGCCAGTTCTTCCCCCTTTGACAGTTCAGTTACTGTATCTACTGCGTCTTCGACTGCCGGCTGTTGTAGTGAACTGCCAACAATGGGCATCATTCATCGCTCATTCACTGGCACTCGTTCTGTGGCACAGAGCGTGCACATTGTACACACTGTACATGGGGCAGTCCTTTCGCCCAACCCCCCACTGCCAACGAGGGGGTTGCCCCAGACTGGGGTGTGGCATATTCCGCAATTCTATGGCATAAATTCGCTGGCGATAAAATGCGCAACTGGCAATACGATTCGCGGGATAAGTCCTTCGGCCAGCGAGGCCAGAATTCCAAAGGGGGTGGCTAGTTCTCCAGTTCGCCAGTTTGCCAGTTGGCAGGGTGGTGTAGTAATGGTGTAATGGCCGGGTGGAACATAAAAATATTTATTAATGAATGCATCAAGGAACGGAGACAAGAGAGAGCGGCAAAAAAGTTTCGCCAAATTGTCCATAAATCCAATTGGAAATGGGTCTGTGTATCTCTATCTCTATCTGTATCTGTATCTGCATCTGCATCTGTATCTGCATCTGTATCTACAGCATTTAGCTATCTGCTAGGGCCTGTGCACGTGTGCGAATTTGTGTGCGGCTGCAGCAGCTGATTAATGAAGCCAGCGAACGGTTGAAAGAAACAAAACACCTGTTAGCCTCAGTGCCTCAATTCCCGTGTGCCTTCTTCAGCGATGAGTTGTCAGTGGCCATGCATCCATGTATTTAATAGGGAAATTACTTGCACACTTGGCATTTAGATATTTGAATGAATTTAGAAACGGCTCTGTTTCATACCCATACCCATACCTTATCCGATATACCAGTGAGAGGAAATAAAAACTCATGTCTGTCCTATCTATCATTCATTACAAACTAGCATTCTCCAATGTTCAATCAATAAGTTGTCTTTTAGTGTGGTTACTAAGAAATGAATGATTCTACGCGCAACGAATACTTTGCTCGTATTTACTTTCTTTATCAATAGAACGAATGAATTGGTGAAATGCGAAATCCAAAACGATATGGGGCTACTTGAGTATTCCCGAGGAATGTACATATTGGTATTTGTCTTTGGGTTCGTGGGGATTTCTCTGAGAACTCCACCCTGACCGGCCGGGGACCTTTGGCCGCTGTTCCCTGAATAGGGGAAACCTTCCTAGTCACGAGAGATGGCCATATCATTTGGGGGATCGAAGACGTTGCTTGTTCGCTTGCGGTCAGTTTGCGATAGTGTGGGACAATGTGTGAGGAAAGTCACGTACTTAGGGGATCTAGATGGATGTTGGGGATTGGGGACTGGGGATTCAGAATCTCACCTGTTGGGAAATCTCTCTCTCACTCCAAGAGCAGTTCTGCCCATCTGATTGTCGCTGGTGCGTTTCGTTGGCCTTTCGGCAGGCGGACACCTGTTTGGGTCTACCCTGCTATCAGTTTTGAATAGGGGGCTTTGCGAAAAGGGTGGGGACTTGTAACACTTGGTTTTGGTACCACTAAAGCGTGACGCTTTTGCAAGGCATTTTGGTAGTTGTTGATTAAAGCACTTAATGGGTTCAACACTTCAAAAAAATATGATTAAATCTCTTAGATTTTAAGGCGAACTATTATGTATTACTATGTTTACTATGTACGTTTTTATTGAATTGAATATCGTATTTAACACTTGCGTATCGCGGATTTTGGGGGCTTAGTTTGTATTATTCAGGGGGTTGTGTTTTGTGTTTTCGGCTTGTGTTTTTTAGCTTTCAGTTTCCGCTGCGCATTTGTAGCGATTCAGAGTTGCTCACACGATGAATCCAACACGTTGAATAAAAGTTCGAGCGACGTTCAAATTCGCTTAAAGCCAATAAGTCAGCCAGCGGCAGCGACGTCGGCAGCGGAGCGACTGCGCCAGTGCGATTCTAACGGCGCGAGAACGAAGAAACGGATGGCAACTGAAACGGCCAAAGGCGCGGCCAAACGACCGTCCGTCGATGTGCTGTGCTGTGCTTGCGCTTGTTGTTTGTGTTCTAAGTCGGAGCCGCCATAAAATCTAATAAGAACGCCAGCGTCAGTGCCGTGCCAGTGCCAGTGGATGGTGGCTGCAAAACGGGGTGGAGCGGAACAGGGTGGTGGGTTGGAGCGGCGCAGTTGGCGGCGTTGCGTTCGAGTCCGGTTGACGCGAAACACTGCCAGCCGACCGACGGAAAGGCCGAACGACCGACGCGACTGCCCGGCGGAACGATTGGCAATGGGCTGCGGCAAACAAATAAACAAACGCACCACAAACATTGCCCAGGGGCGTTGTTACATCCACATGGCGAATACTCAAGGGGGTATGGCCCTTGATACATAAACTGATACACTTATGTATATATCTTGCAAACACGATGTAATGGAATGCTCACAAATATTGCACACTCACTCGAGAGCTATCATTTAAGGATTGTCGGCATCTGCAAGATACATTTGGATCGCATTCGGACCTTCCCAAGTCCAGTGCCCATGGATACCACTGGAAGTATACTAAATCCAACCGAGCTTTTAAGAACCCCTTTTTCTCGAACGCAACTGACTTATGGAAGGGGAAGTGGAATCGGAACAGCAGCGTAGATATCCGAAAATTGAGTGCGTGTGTGTGCGAGCACGAGTGCGAGTTTTGGCTGCTCTTCACTAGTCGCTTTTGGCTGGAAGCCGAGTCGAAAGCCACAAAGCTTTGGCCAAGAGGAAGAATTTGGAAAGGTGGGGAAATGTGCGGGGCACGAACCACTTATCAAATTGTTCATTTTGCCTGTGAGCTGGCGCATTGAGCAGGAAATCTTGTGACCATTAACCACCAACCTCCTCCTACGCCACCCATTTCACTGTCACTTGCGGAACGTTTGGAATCGGAATCGCTGCACACACCATGCCTGCCCAATCGCATTTCAAATGCAGCGACGTCGGCAGCGGCGCCATGACCTTGAAAATGTTTTGTATGCTCAGTCCTTCGCTCTCTTACACTCTCTTCTGCCAAGCTAAGACGGCATGCGCGAACGACTGAGTTGCACGATCTGCAAAACTGAGCTTGGCTTACATGAGATCCTTATCGTGGTAAATATCACAATCGAAACATGTGTGCACGTACATATGTAATTGTTGCATAAAAGCCCGCACTGGGCCGCAACTCATGCGCTGTGATAAGGAAGCCACCGTTATCCGTTATCGGCTATCGGTTATCAGCAGGCAGGTAACGGTGCACGAAAAGTTGGCAAAAGGCAGACGTGACCATGACTAGCTCAACTTGCCCGAAAGAACGGTTGGAGGTGGTTGCAACTTCTTAAGATCCAATCGTCTTTGCAATGGAAATGGCCGATTGGGATTTAGGCACCGGCAAAAAACGCCGGCTACAATAGGGCACGAAAACAATAACAAATGCTCAGTGCTGTGGGCTAGAGAGAGAGAGAGAAAGAGAGTCCGATGGAGAGCGAGGGAGAGTGTTTCATGCCATGCCGTTCCGTTCCGCACTCACTTTGTTTGTCCCACTCACGTTTCCACGCGACCGCCGAAAGAGCGGCGAAAAGCGAAAGCTTCGTGTGGCTTCGTGTCGAGTGAAGTCGAGTCGTGTCGAGTCGTGCACCTTCGGCCTCCTGAATGTACAGTGTGTTCTAAAAATAGACCCTGACTCGCATCATGCACGGTCCCCATTCGGCGACGATCCCGTCATCTGCTCGCCGATTGGCCAGCGGGCTCCAATAAAGCCAAAGGCAACAATAGCAAAAGCAATAGCAATAGCAATAGCCACAACAGCTTTGAGAAAATACGAGTCTTCCAACACAGCAAAGTTCTATCTCGCCGCCGTCGCCGCTGTTGGCATCTAATAGCAAATTTATAAAGGAATAAAATGAGCATTAAAAAGCGCCAAGCGGCGCGGGCGAGCACACGGACGTCGGGTAGGTGTCAGGGGGGTACTGGGCGGTATTGGGGTAGGGGCTCGCAACGGTGGCGGCGGCATATGGAAATTGATGCAGCAGCTGCGCCGTCCGAAGCGTGCCAAAAATTGCCCCAATGAAAGTGCTCGGCAGAACACAGTGGAGCTCAATGCAATAGGGCTTCCTTGCTTGGCCGACGAAAATGAGCCATTAATTGATTGTTATTGAAATTTGGCTAAGAGAGAACACATTCATTAGCTTGAAATTTGCCGAGCCCATGCCCACTGCTGCTAGTCACTTGCGCGCCATAGTGCCCACCGGCCTCCGAGTGGACCGCTGTCGTAGCTTTCCCACACCGAGTGGGCACTGCGAAGATTACAGCGACGGATCTGTGGCCGCTGTGCGCCTGTTCGCACCTCGCAACTGCGGTGGGAGAAGCTCGGTCATGTGCGTGTGTGGGTGTGGGTGTGGGTGTGGATGGGGGTTGCGGTTGGGGTTGGGGTTGGGGCTGGCTCCCCCGCCCAGCCAACTCTCCCTGGGCGACAATTTAAGTTGTAGTTGCTGCTGCACTTGCATTCATAGCCCAAGTTTTGTCTTAATGAATTGCTGAAATGTGTTATGCAAGGGAACGAAGAATCGGCCATACTGGGGAATCGACTCGCGTAATACCCTGTACTTTCTGCGGTTCCCGTAAGGCAGGTAAAGCACATTCAACAACTGTCACTGTGCGCTCTCTGCAATTGCAATTTGCAATAAGTACGAGTATATGCAAAATAGAATTAATCACTGCGCACTAACGAAACCCATAAAAAATCAACCGAACAACAATTAAGAGTGTCTAGGTCGCAGGGTTATATACGTGCCCGATCCCTGGACTTGGTGGGATCTAACAAAGTAAATGTACTACTGCTCACCACAAGTTGTAGGATGTCGGGTAAGCGCATAAGCAGTGGAATAATAATAATCAATATATTCCACATGAGTCGAGTACTGTGGAATATTGCTAGGTCCGCTGCAAAATGCCTCGTATTTTTTTGGGACGCCCATCACTTACTTTATGGCTTTTCTCAGTTTGTCTCTGGCGACCCGCCCCTTCATAACCAAAGCAATGGCGAATGACTTTGTGGCAATAGACACAATTAGACACAAACTGAAGTATTATCGCCAGGGGAGAGAGGCGTGCGACGCAAAAGGCAAATCAGAAGTCCAATTTGCATACTGATCAATCGGCGATCGATGCGATGGATTTCGATGGGGGATCTCGGGGGAATTTGGGGAACGCGACTCATAATCTAATGAATGCACTTCGCGAGAAAGCGGAAATGCCGGATGAGCTTATGCCGGCCGAGTGCTGGGCAAGATCAGGGCCAGGAGTTAATCAGCGACCAGAAGCCATCGATCAGCCCTCGCATTGTCTTACGGCTCATGGCGCAATTCATGGCTAAGCATCCAGTCACTTGAATTATCTATCGTGTAAGTGGCCAATGCCAGTGCCAAGCCCAAAGCTTGGCTTAGAACACACACCGCGACACTGGAAACGACAACCACTTCCAGTTCCACAGTCAGCGGGTGAAGGGCCACTGGAACGGGGCGGGGGGCTTGGCAGGGGAGCTGCCGAAATATCTGACTGATCACCGATTGTCCAGCGACGCTTGTCACTCCCCACTTGTTTACAGCGGGACTTGTTTACACTCAAGGAGAAGGGTTTCAGGGGTCGAATATTTACGGCTATGAGTTCATTCCGTTGGATCGATATTGGCTACTGAATTTCGTTTCTCTGGCGTACTCTATCCACTTGGAGTAGTCACGTTTCTAAAAGAAGTTTACCCTGTGCTAGGAGTAAACTTCTACTCTATCCCTTGATTGCTCGCTGGAGGACTAGGCCAAACTGTTTTCAAATTGCAGTAATCAGCGTCCGCACCAGTTAGGGGCACAGTGGTGATGTGATGTGGATCAGCTGGAAGACAACCTTCACATAATTGATTGCTTAGCTGTATTTCTTATCAACTCGTATAGATTTGATCTTTGAACGCAATAAAAATAAACTCACAATGATAGAATAATTCTTATCAATTCAATGACGTAGCGCAGCAAATTATTCACTCGAAGTTTGGATCGACCAACTCGCAATTTTGGGATGCAATATGAAGGCGTAGATCAGTTGGAAATGCCCCTCCATGCGGAGGGTATCTTCTCTTCGGTGCGAGTTCTCTGTCTGTGTTTCGATAATCAAGTCTTGTCTTCCGCATGCCAGCACCACCACAAACATATACATATGCATATTGTCTATTGGCGGCGGTGCGAGCAGTGTGAAAATCGGAGATCAGTGGACAGAGATTAACACGCCTGTGGAGCCACTGCTCCACGATGGGTTAAATGACACGATCGATGGTCAACCTGTCCCCAAGTTCGAGCCACTAAGCTGTGGCCTATTGATTGGTGCGACATGGCAACATCTTAATGCCCAGCCACTCGGGCACATAAATCAAGACTGTCAGCGAAGATCGGAGTAATCGGAATATATCATAATAGATACATTTTGGCTTCTCCGAGTAGAGTCGTTTCACTGCGCCTTCAAGATGACGTGCCAACTCTGGCACAATGTGGCACAATGTAGGCTGCGTGCATCCTCTCGCTACATGCCGCACTTTTTATGGCTCACGCAAGACCATAAAAAATACTTGGCCCAGTTGGAAGCAAGATTCCGAAATGGTGGAAGCGATCCAACGAGGCGTCACAGGATACAATGTTGCTGCGAATAGAAAGCGATTTGGGGAAAATACAGTTGAAAGTGATTGGATTGGAGTGGAGTCAAGCGACTTCATGTTATTAATTTGCAGCATGCAATTGAAAACCTTAGGACTTTGACATTTTAAAGTGTGTGGATGAATTTCAATTGAGACCCTGAAGGCAGATGACTCCAAACCTTTCGTAGAGGGATCCTTCTCTATATATTCAGTACATGAGTAGACTAGGCAAAGTAAACAAAGCACTAGTCATATAAAAATGGTCAGAGTTGCAAGCGGCATATGACGAATTGGGATGATATCGTATGGTTACGGGCCACCTTGCGCAAACGATATGGAACTCTTGCTCGCTCCCGGGAAATCCGCTGACGCGCGATGTTGATATCGTCGAGTGGCCTTTCCTTCCTCGAAACCCGGGCTTCAAAGTTGCAGCTCGCGATGCACTATCCAATTCGAATGCCTCCCAATCGCTGCAGGCTTTGGGGCTGGAGGCACGGCAAACACCATTGTCTGTGGGCAGCAGCAGCACGAAGGCGAAATACCTTCCGGTCCCTCCCATTTCGCCTTTCCGACTCCGTGTGGGCCTCCAGTTTCCTGGGAAAGCGGATCAATAAAAAGGGGGCGGCGACACGACAGCCAAGGGCGCCACTCTGCCAGCAAGTCCTTCAGCCAGTCAATTCGTCAGTTACCCGTTCCCAACCGCCACCCATGTCGCCCCTCGTAAGCTCTAATTAGAGTTAAGCGAGTGGAGAGCTGCAGACATTGAGAACTTTGATAACAGAGACGAAAACAAGTGGAAGGGCAGAGCTTATCGAGATACTCGGCACTCAATCGATTTGAGCATGGAGCTGAAGAAGAGGTATGGGATCAAGAAATCCATTTAGTTTGCACTTCATTTAACTGTTGCACAGCTTCAGCCCACCCTGCAGCACTGACAACAATGACAGTTGGCAACTGGTGACCCACTTCCGCGGTCAAGACTCGGCAGAGTCTCTTCCACTTCCTCCCCCAGCGGAGACCACACCCGAAAGCTCTGGGAAGCATATACATACCTTGAAAGCGAAACTCTGCATTGTTTTGGATCCACTTCGTATCGATTGACGAGGCTCCCCACGCTCCGGAGCCAAAAACTTGGAGCCCTCGTTCCTCACGCCGAAAGGAACCCGTGGAGCGAGGTCCTGCACGCAACACGAAAACTTTCTTTCACATTTTTTTGACGCCCGCTTTTACGATTCGAAATTACGATTGTATAATAAAGCGGACGGCGGGAAGGAACACAGCGCCGTCGATGGAGACATTGCCGGGGCGCAAGTCCTGGGCTGCTCCGGGTGGTTGGTGGCAGCACCACAGTAGGGGTGTCCCATTCCGGGTCCGGGTACGGGTCCGGGCCAAGTGGGCCGCCATTTTGTGTGCAGACTTGTGGCGCCAGTTTTATGTACTCGACGAGCAACACGCGTTCGCGGACAGGCGGACAGACGGACATTGGCCAACGGACAGGGTATTTGGTATGCAGGATGAAGGCAGTGCTGCGCGGCCCAGAACAGCGATTATGGGCTATGATTTTGAAACTCACTTGGCACAGAACCGCCTAGGTAAATGATTTCAGCACAGTTATCATGTACGTATACGTTTTCAGTTCGAGCTGAATACCCATGGTGTTCATAGCTGGTGCTGTTTCTGCTCCAAAGCATCTTTATTCTGGCCATTCTGTTGAGTAGTATATAGTCTTTGGCATATTACCATTAAATCGCCAAGTTGGCAACACTAATGTTGGATGTAAAGCTGAAAGCGGAGGACCTAGACTGCGACTGTGCGACTGCGGACTGTGGACTGTGGATGTGTGGCGACGCCGGCGTCAGCGGTGGACTAGGACATAAAGTCATTTATTGTGTGGGCCGTGGCGGACGCCCACTGGACAGCAACCTACACCCACCACACACCACCCACCGCCCTGCGCCCACTGTGGCCAGCAATCGTCGCCAAGCGGGCGTGCGCTACGCAATTAGTTCAAACACTCGAAGGACACAGGACACAGGTCACAGGTCACAGGTTTCCCAATCATTTCCAGCGGACAGCGGACAGCTTTTTAGTGAAGTTGTTGGTGCCATAGGGGGGTGGCCCGCATATTTGCGTATGAGATTTGGCCGCATGTGGTTAATGGCGTCAACAAACGGACTCCAGAACACTCAGCCCCATCCCAGCAGATCCCAGCTTTTCCCTTTGAACCCGGATGTACTACAGACACCCATAGGTGTCATGTGTAGGTCCAGTTTCGAGGGCATATGCAATTGGCGGGTTGCGTTGGCAAATTCTGTAATTCCATTCAGGCGGCTTAATTGCAGAGAGGCAGGTTACAAGATGGTGCCTCTGTAAGGTCAAAGGCAGACCTCGGGGTGAAGTGGGCAGCAGTGGGCAGGAGCTGGGAGCTCGAGGGGCGCGGTCTTTTCGCGCTAGTGGAATCTTTTCACATTGCCAGGGGAAGTGGAGCGCGCTGCTGCTAAGCACACCGAAGCTTGGAGTATTTCTCCGCTGATAAGGCTCTTGGGCCGAGGGGCGTCGCTTTCGGGGGCTGGGGCACTATTTGGTGAGCGCCCTCCCCACTCCCACCTCCCCCCTGCAACGCCCCTGCCTGATAGCGACCGCAGAGCGCTGGAATGTTCTCAATTGAAGTGAATCATATCCTCAACCTACAAGTGAACTCTGAGTGGACTGGAATTGGAATGGAGATTACAACATTTCATTCATTCATTCGGCCGTGTGTTGGTGTTTTTAATTTGGCAGGGTACTCGCTTATTTATTTGTATTCAGCTGCGACAGTTGATCGAGATAGTATCAACCGAGTAATCATATTTCACGAGGGTCTTCACGCTTCCACAGCTAATATTCGTACATAGTCAGCTGTTATTATGTCCAACGAGTTATTTAACTTCAAAATATGTCATGAGCTCCTCAATAATTGGATCAATATGCCCCACTCATCGGGGTAGAGTGCAATTTCTTTCGGAATAAAACTGAAGGACTTTAGGCACGGATTTTCCCAAAGCGAAGATAGCGATCGTGCCCCCATATAGAGCATGACTTAATGCGGCAATCTAATCTGCTCGGGCTGCTCGGCCGTGCAGCCGCCACCCATCCGAACCCCTTTAGCCCTGGTGTCGCCTATCAATCAGTTAGACGATTGGCGGATGATAACCGGACCCAGCTGGCCAATCCGCGGCCCCCGGTTCCGATCCGCGGTTCGCAATTTCGTCGGCCCTCGGTTATAATTAGCAATTACAACTCGTTACCTGCGATCGATCCGTCCAGCCAGGTCTTTATCAGCCTCGGCGCTTATAATTTATTGCCAATAGTCGCAGGCTTGAGTTCTCGAATTTATTAATTGCGTTAAGTAATTGTCGCTATTTTCGCGACATGATTTCACGATCGTCCGCTATTTGCGAGGGTGCCCGGCCATAGGCCAGCCGAAATGGCGATGGGAGGGGCTTACTCCGGTTCCTAAGTGTGCAAAACCATCGTTGGGAAGGGATTGCGATGGCATGAGGGCTTTCAAGGGAAACACTAGTGGACAAAAATATAGTGCGAATTCAAAATGAACTGGGCAGGGAACTGGGAAGCCGAAAACTACTCAACGCTGCTAAGCTGATTAGAGCCTTTGACCAAGTTTTCGATTGCGTTGGCTTGCCCGCATTGAAATTGCAAATCCCCATCCCCATCCCCATACCCTTCCCAATCCCAATAGTTTATATGCAAATCAAATATATATTTTGTGATTAAGCCGTTTTGCTGTTTTCATTAACACCCCAGCACCATGGTCCCCACCCGAAGTCCCGCTGAGCAGCCAGCTTGTCACCCGACCGGGCCATTGTCTTTCCCCAGCTGCGGAGATGTGCGTGAGTCGCGGATCGTGAGCGAAGCTGCGTGAGGATTCACTAGATTCAGTCAAGGGCACTAGGCCTTGTGAAATTGAGTGGCACTGTTGACTAGAAAAGTGCTGTTTTTGCGGCTCGGGTGAGTAATAAGTATTTTATATTCCGAAAGATGGTGTTCAAATGTATCTTTTTTTCCCATACAAAGGCGCTGACGTGAGTCATAAAAATACATTGAATGCGAATGTTACGTATACGCCATGAAGTGCAACAGCGATTGTAGAACCTGTAGAAGCCATAAACTAATGCCAGTGTGATGGATTGGAAAATGTGCGCTTTTTGCTTTCCCGCCCGAGCCGTGAGTCGTAAAACCCACTGAGGTTTTTGTTTTTTGGCACCGCTGTGGGCATCTCTAGCTGGCACTTTGGGCCTGTCCAAAAAGCCGCTCAGACGCTACGGCAGGCAGCTCTGCTTTTGATTAAGCTCATTTGCATTTGAATGGCAGTGCTGGCCGATGGTTTTATGTTACTCCACAGGCGAGGTGTGGTGAGGTGAGGTGCCTTTGAATTTCTAATAAGCCAAGTTATTTGCGCATGACTCAACGACAGTGCGTCGTCGATAATTCCATGATACTCAGCTCAAATCGGTGGGTTAGTTGGGCAAATATTTATAGAAGCGCTCGGCCCAAGTCGTCGTTAATAGATTAAATTTACATCTGCGGTTGCCGTGGCTGTAGCCCTAGCCACTGTCTAAGAAAACTATTTTTAGCTGCTGAATCTCCAGCCAATCAGTCTGCAGTAACGATCGTAAGCATCTGCCGAGCAGCGAAAGCGATGAGTCGCCTGAACGCAATCGCCTGACATTAACGAACTCACGAGCTCACGAGTCCACTAATATGTGGCACATTTGTCATGCCCAACGAAGGTCGTCGCGAAATTGCCTTTGAACGGAGTCCTCTGTGGATGACAAAACCTTCCTGAGATATCCCAATGCATTCTGACCACTGCAGTTCGCAAGCAAAATATTCTATATGGTCGAGTGCCACGACAGAATTATGGTTTCAATCACAAGCTTGTAGGGCACTCGGTCTAAACATGTCCGTTTGCAACTGTGTCCGTTTGCCACTTTGTCCGTATGTCCCTCTGTCCGTTGCGCGATTAGTTCTATGGTTCACTGGTGCATTTATCATTTCCCTTTCAGTGCGCTGCGCTGCTCAAGTGAAGAGTTTTCGCATCCCAAATAGCAAAACGCAATCATTTCCAATTATTCGCAATTACTCTACTAGTTCCATCCCTCTCTGCAGCTCTATCTCCTTTTTTTGGGCACATTGCTGCGGCTCCAGCGAGTCGCGCATTGTGGATGAATTAGTCAGGAAATTAATTAATCAAAACTAACGCAAACAGCAACAACTCAAAAGCAACAAAGGCGACCCAGCGGAGCAGAGGAGCAGCGGAGGGGGCAAAGAACATAAACAGAATAAACCGAATGTAAAAATAAAGCGTCGCTCTACAATTTGTTGCCTGTCATTTGCTTATTTTTTGTGGCGCTACCGCTTCCCGCCTTCCTCTACCGCGTCCTCTGCTCATTGCTATTGTTTCGCTTCTATCACGGCATCTGTTATTGCGGTAGGGCATTTGCTGGTCTACTAGCACTTCCCCCCAAAAGCCCCGAATAATTTGAACCCTCTCCGCGAGACTTGTTTGCTGGCGGACAGCCTTGAGAGGCGCTTAAAATGTTTTGATTATTGTATTATTATTGTTTCTGTTTTCGCCCTGAGATTTAGAGGTTGGGGTGGTGGTGCTAGTGGTGGCGGTCGCGGTGGTGGCGGTTGTGGAGCATACACATGAGTAAGAGCCAACGCAATCTTGTGCCCCAGGGAGCTGGGGTGGCCAGCTCTTGGACCAAAAGCTGTTTCGAGTACGAAGCGAGCCTTCGACCGCTGGAACTAAAACAAATCCCAGTTGCCTTGGTAAGTGTAACGCTAATGCTACGCTAATGTGTTCCCATTTGTTTGTGGCAGTGCATCCAGATCCTTGGGAACTGCACGTCGAGCTGTCGGCAGCGCCATATGGCGAGCCTCTTCCTTCAGGCCTGCACTGCAAAGAGACCCGCCCGGTAATCGAGTTCATTTAAATGCATTAAATGTGTCTCATTATGCCGCGGTTGTGGCATCGGCAAGTCGAATCCAATCCATCCAATCCATCCAAACCATTCAATTCGCCTGACTCACTCGAATGGCGAATGGCGAACAGCGGGCCTCGGACATATGGCAGCAGTGGGCCGCAGATTGTTGAACAAACAAAACACTTTTATGCATTTTGTGCGCCGAAGGCAGGAGAGCCATTCTGCAGACAGGCAGGGGGGAATTATAGCGTCGAAATGAGCAAGTTAAGTCGGATATCGCGGCTAGCCGGGACACTAACCCGCGGATCGGCGTGAGCTGCAGTGGGGACTCCAACCGCACTGGGAACAGGACAACAAGGATCTACTTGCACTGTGGGGCGCTAAAGTTGCGACCCCCATTGTATTGTGAGTATTCAACACTGGCTAATGTTGTTGTTCTTGCTGGCTAGTGTGGCCAATTTATTATTGCATTTGGCAACTGGGCGGTGAAATTTCTTGCCCGCTTTGATCTTGACGCGTTTTTGACACTCGCCGAGCATTTCGTCGATGCTGCTCAGTGCCTCGGGGAGAGGAATCCGGCGGATGGGGCCAGCGGACAGCCGGCGGCATGTGGCCGCGCATTTTTCATTATTTTTTTCCTTTCGTGCATACGTATATGATTTTGTTTTCCCTCAAAACATTCAGACGAAAAATGCTTTTCATACACATTTCGGCGCATTACTCAGCTGCAAGTGGAATTGGCGGTCGTCAAATGTAACAGTTTTTCTGTACGTATTTTTAGCTCCGGTTGGATCGCGCGATTCTATATGCAAAGCATATTCGTAATTTGTATGTTCAATCATAGCCGCAGAGGTCGGGGTAATTGCAATGGCTATAACTATGGCCATATCTATTTGTATTTATTTGTCATCAAGCCCCAGGGGTTGTGAATGCGATCTGAATCAGCGTGGTTACGTTGGTTCCACCGCTTAAAGCCACTACGACTAGAATGCGAAGTGGGTGTTGGCTCTCCTGTAGCTGAATCGTTGTGGTTCGTGTCCGAAATAACAGCCTCTCCAGCTGTTCCCCTTGCTTGGCGTCTCCACTGAGCATGATTCCATTGGATGTGGCCCCAGTTGCAACTGAAGCTAGCGTACTCAGTCAAACAATTCGATAAACTTTTACCTTTAAAGCATTTGAGATTTTAAGCAGCTGAAATGGTTTTTGTATTTCAGGGAGAAGTGTCTGCTAAGCTTGTTAGCCGGCAAAGTCCTGCCTTGTTTGTTCAACGCACACTTCACCTTGCCCTCCAGCCTTGCCAGCGGAAAGGCACGCAACGAAAGCGGGCCAATTAGTGTGGTTGGACATCAGGCGGTGCTGGCGGGGCCCCGTCGCCAACTGGCAACCGGCCAAGGCGCACGCACTGTGGCGTCTCTGCCGCCCCTGGAGCGGGCATCAGGTGACGTGGGCGGCTGAGGAGGGATCGGAAGATATAGCACTATCGATATAGTGCGTCAGAGCGACGACGACGATGGCGCGGAAGTAGCTGGCCACCGCCTCTACCCCTCTACGCTGCCAACAACCTGTGGCCTTGACAGCGCCCGTTTTGATTTATGCGACATTTTGCAAAAGTCAACAAATGGAAATGACACAGAAATAATGCCAAGAGAGCTGTTTTTCACTATTCCGATTTCTTTTCCCCAGGGTCGGACGCACAAGTAGATGCCCCAGTGCCAACCGCTGGACCTCCGTGGTCCGTGGATGCAGATTCCATCTGTACTCCCAGCATCACAACGGCATGTTACAGCTACGGACCACCCGTTCCGGATATCACGGATTCGTTTAGGAAAGCACTGGGATCCGAGTTCCGACTGGAGTGAGCTATCTTCGTGTTTGCTGTTAGCAGTACGGCTTTTAACTTCAATACGATCAACTTACTTGTATGTCCCGAAACGGAAACACTTCAAGCAACTGAAACCAAATCGGCATGGGCTTGGTAGGAAGTCGTCAGCTCAACCACGTCGAATTGCGTGCCCACCAGCAGGCCACCGGACTGTCCGCAGAGCAGCTGGAGCAACTGCACACGCGGTTTCGCAGCTTGGATCGCCAGCAGCGCGGCTATTTGACACCCACCGACTTGCTACGCATTCCGCAGCTCTTGCTCAACCCGCTCCACCGCCAGATCATCGACGGCTTCTTCCCCAGCCGTGAGCCTAGCGAGCGTATGGATTTCAAGCAGTTCGTGGACACCTGCTCCACCTTTTTGGTGCCACAGTTTGGCCGCGGCTCAGCGAGGCGGCGCGACGGGCGTGTCCAGAAGCTGCGCCTCCTGTCCAAGATGTTTGACACCCGTCGCAGCGGCTGCATCACACGCTCCGACTTCCGCCAGATCATGCGCAGCATAGTCAATCTGAACTCGAGTCAGAAACAGGAACAGGAACAGGAACGTCAGGTGGAGCTTTCCGAGAACCGTTTGCCTGAGGTGGAGGCCGAGCTGCTACTCCTAGAGCGGCAGGCCTTTGGCTCCCCCTGCGACCAAATCTCTTATGTGGAGTTCGAGCAGCGCCTGGTTAGTGCGGACGTCGACGGACGGCTGTCGATCGTCAAGTGGCTGGAGGACGATGGCGATGATGATGACGATGACGAGGACGAGGTCGAGGCCGCAATGGAACTGTCAGTTGGCTCAGGCCCGTGAAGCACCACGCCCAAGACGCTCATCCTCGTCGTGTTGTGTTTATGTTTTCAATATACCAATCATTTCCATCAACTGGACGCTTGAGCTACCAATCAGGGAATCCTCCATTTGGCGGGTGCGGGTACTAGAAAAATTTCAGTCCAAATTGAGCAAATATAATTTAAATCTTAACATTTTAGACACAAAGAAATCCGGTCACGAAATCTTATGCGATAAATAAAACTATTATGGTGCCACCAAAGTGGTTAAAGTATTTACGTGTGGCTTTTGCTCGATGTTGCCTACTTTTCCGCGGGGAACATTTCTCTGCATCTGGCTGCACGTTGCATACTTTTGGGCAGCAGACAGAAAAGTGCCAGCTGATAGCTCGAACTGAATGGAAGCAGCTGATCCTTTTTCAAGATGGCCGCCTCCGATGGAGGGGAAACCGTTAGTTGTTTATGATGGCTGCAGGCAACGAGCATGTCAACCGGCCACCTACTGGGATTTCTGTTCGCCTGGTGTTTAGCCACTGAGAATTCACAAATTTCTGACAAATTTCCGATGCGACATCATTTTTCCCCAGTCAAATTGCCACCTTTTCGGGTCTCAGACACCAGGCGAACAGAATCCATAGCAGGCTGCAGCTGGTAGCCCTATCTAAATTGAAACAGCTGATCCTTCTTCATGATGGCTGCCCCCCTTTCGATCGCTCCAGTTAGCATCGACCAATAGGAGAGCGGCATAACCGTTAGTTTGGAACTGACTGCAGATCAGTGATGAGCAACCGCGTTGTTCTTGTGTTCGTGTCACGGCCTTGGCACAATAGGCACGAAAGTCCCTTGTATTACATGGGTGCGTGCCGAAAATGTAAGGCACGCGGGCATCTCTATGTAAGCGCGTATTGAACTGATCAGCTGACTGTTTTGCACGTTTGCAAGTTTGTTTGAATGCGATCTGGACGAGTTGCGATGGCAGTTCAAAAGGAAACGAAAACGAGCTTCGTTTATTTCATTCACAATAAATGTTTATTATAATTTGTTAATAGTAAGGGTGTGATTTGCAATAGATAGCTTTCTCCGCAAAAGGGGCGTGGTCTGCGCAAACTCCTAAAGCGCCCTAAAATATCTGTAAGTTCAATACGGATACGGATACGGGTTCGACTCTGGATCTCGTGCTAAAAAAAATGAAGAAGAAACAAACAATATACGTATGTACGTGCATGTACCTTAATTTTGAACATGACTGTATGGCAGGCCGGCGAGCTCCTCTGCGGGCTCTTCGGCGATTCCATGTGCGGTGATTATGCTGAGTTTGCTCGATTGCGCTACGATAAGGATGTGTGAGCACCGTGAAATCGGTTTGATATATGTAAGTGTAGATATAGAAGCATTTATGCCATATGGTTGTGAAAAAAAACAATTTTCAAGGTACGCTACACATGACGATCCGCGTTCGCTTCGCGGCGATTCGTTTTCGATTGGTTCATAACATTTTTAGACTTTAAATTACAATTACGTTTCGATTTTGTAAATAATTTGGTTTCGCGCTTGCATTAGCCGAGCTTTACGTTTAGACTATGTGCTATATATGTAGGTATACATAAATCGTAGTGTATGCGTACGGGTACGGGTATTAGATAAATAATTACAAAAGAGTGTCTTTACGATGTAAGAAAAAAAAATACTTTCGCGCAATCTGGAAACATTCCTTTACACCGGGGTCAGGTCCGCATGACCGCTACCTCCACCCCGTCTCTACTGGCGCCTCACGGTCCGCTCGCGCTCCCGCCCACTCTCCTCCCGCTGGAGGCTGCCGTGGCGGGGCGGCGAGGTGTGCCCAGTGGAAGACCCGCCGCCGTTCAACACGCGCGCCTTGCGCGACCGCTTGAACTTGGCCATGTCCTCGCCGAACACGTCGCCGGTCCTCAGGGCCGAGATGAGGTCGTCGAACTCGCCCTTGTTGTCGCCTCCGCCGCCCTTAGCCGGGGAGTCAGGATCGCCGTTGGACGAACCTGACTTGAGGCCCAGGTTGCGAGCCACGCTGCTCATCAGGCCGGTCTTGTTCTTGCGCTCGATTGTGCGCTTCTTGAGCTCCGCCTCCTGCTTGGCGCGCTTCTCCTCTTCCTCCTGGCGGCGACGGAAGCTCTCGTTGTCATGCCGCGCCTCCGCGAAGGCGGCGAGGAAGGAGTCAAAGATGCCAAAGAACTCGTCCGGCTGCAGAACGGAACCATCCTCGCCGAAGAGGCGTACCGCACGGTCAAAGCGCGTCTTCATGTCCTGGAACTTGTCCTCCAGCTCCGCAAAGCGCACCGACGCCTGGGCGTGGAACTCGCGCATCACGGGCAGAAAGCGGTCACCCTGCTGGGCGGGGCCCGAACTGCGATGGAACTCTATCTCGCGCGCCACGTCTGCCAGGCCCGTGCGTAGCATCTGAATGTCCTTGTCCATCTCGCCCAGCGACACCTTGGATGCTTCGCGCACATGTGGGATATCGTCCTCCAGTTTAAGAAGGTCCTTGAACTTGCGTTCAATCACCTGCACGAGGTAGTGTAGCAGGGTGGTGCCCTTGGCGGCACTGGACTTGGTGTCCGCCAGCCGGTTGAGCGACGCCAGTCGGAATCCGGATGCGTTGCCCCGTGCCCCGCGGTTCATGTAGTTGCCTGGTGGGATATAGGTACACTGGGTTATTGAGAGCTCAGTCAACGGGCAGTGGATCTTACCTAAGGCGAGGACCAACTCAAGGAGTTTGCGCAGGCGACGGGAACGAGCCACCTCACGAGAGGCCTCCATCACACTGGTTATGCGGGGCACCAGGTCGTTGATGGTCAGCATAAAACGCTTCTTGTAGTGCAGACTCTTCAGGCGCTGCTCGTAGTGCGGAATTCTGAAAAAGAACTGTTGTAGAAGGACCGGAATTCTTTGAATTGCCCAAAACTCACTTGGATATCTCATAGAGGAATCGATCGGCCCGAGCAAGAGACTCAATGTCCTCGCTGTGCTCGTCCAGCAAAGCTCGCTCCTCCGCCGAGGGCGTGAACTTGAGCAGTTGCTCGACCATGTCCAGTTGCAGCTGCTCGTTGCTGTCCATGGAGAGGATGGCCCTGAAAGTGGTATGGGTTAGTGTGTATGGGTCGTGGCCAGTGAAGTGAAGTAGGTCCTACTTTGATATCTCCATGTCGCTCATCTTCAGCTTGCTCAGCAGGATGGTGCAGTTCTGCGCCCGGCGTCCGTCGATCACCGACAGCACTTTCTGCTTGGCCGCCTTGCCAGTTACCCGTAAGTCCTCATAGGATCCATCGGTGGCCTGGAAAACAGGGAGGGTCTTAGTGGGGAAACGAAACTCAATGGAGCTCCCATATCTCAACTCACCGATACCCCGTTCTTTTGGTAGGCCGAGAAGAGTTTATCAATTGACTCTAGCTCCATGTTGTTGTACAGCTTGCTTTCGTCGAGCTCGCTCCAAACGGTGCCCTGCAGCTTGGCGTCCGGCAGTTTCGACCAGTTGAAGCTCTTCAGGGGATTCGTCGGCTGTGGCACGTTCTTCTTTGGCAGATCCACTTTTGGTGGCGCTGGAGCTGTTGTGCGAAGACGCAGTGGTTGATATGATCGATTGATTTGATTGATTGATTTAAAACAAGGCCACTTACCCATCGTTTGTGCCATGCTTGGCGGAGGAGGAGGGGCGCCCGGGCAAGGAGGTGGTGGTGGGGGCATCATCGACGGTGCCATGGGTGGCGGAGGCGGCGGGATGGCCTTGAGCATGGGTGGTGCTGGTGGAGGCGAGACGGCACCATTGCAGCCAGTGAGGCCGGCCACCTTCTGGTCGTCTGGGATGCTGCCCTCCGTTACCAGTCGTTCCAAGCGAGCCCGTTCCTGCTGCTCGCTGAGCAGGCGATGCTGCAGATCCTCTGCTCGCATCTCAGCAGTCTGCGCTCGCTGCACCGCCTGCGAGTGCTGGGCGGATTCCTTCTCCAAACGCTCCCGCATGCGCGCTAGTCCCGTCTCCAAGTCCTCTTTCTCTTGCATGCGTAGGTCGAGTTCCTGCTCCTTCTTGGCCAGCCGCGACTGGACGTCAAAGTTCTCGCGCTCCAGCTCGTCGGCTCGCTTTCGCGCCTGTGTCAGCTGCTCCTCCTTGACCAGCAGACGCACCAGCTTAGCCACGTCGATCTGCAAGGGCGCCACGTCGGGATCGTGGATTGGCGACTCGGCGGCCAGCTTCAGTTGCTTCTCAGGGTCATCGGGATCGACGATAAGATCACTGTTTGGCCGCTGTTCCACCTGCAGCACTATCTGCTGTACCACGCGGTCAATCAGCAACCAGTGCTCCGTGCAGTGGCCCGTATCTGTTGGATTTCGTTTAGGATTAGAATACAGTGAACAACTCCAGAGGAGATCACTTACAGGGCAGCAGGAGCATGTGCTGCAGAAGGGAGAGCATGTGGGGATAGGCGGGCGAGTGACTGAGCTTGCGGCGCAGCAGCTCAAACATGGAACCGGCGCTCTTGGTGTCCACGTGCTCCTCCTTAAAACGGCGGGCAAACTCCTTCTCATCCTCAGCACGGACCATCTCAAAGAAGTCCTGTTGATATTTTTTAAAGAAAACCATTTAGAGAAGAGCTCGGCACCATAACCTTTGAGTACTCACCAAATGCCTGTCCAGCGTTTCGTTCTCGTGCGTGCGCAGCTTGTCGATCACAGGCTGGATGCCGAGCATGAGAAACTCGTACCTCAGGTGCAGTCGGAACTCGAGGTTCTCCTGGCCGGGTCCGTAGTTGAGCACCGCATTCACGAACGACATGAGCGCGGTCTTCAGATTGACATTGTCCCTGTACGCGTAGGTCGAGCGGTCCAGGTCGTTGACAATGCTCTGGAAACGGGTTCGTTCCGTGGCGAAGTCCTGGAAGTGGAGCATGGCCTGCAGCACCTTGCGATGACCGCCGGGCACCAGACACACGGCACCCAGAATCTCCAGGGCGGCGATCTTTGTGCGAATGTTGTCCGCCGCTAGGGATCTGGCTATGGTGTCGATGGCCGTTGGATGGGCTAGCACGTGCGCCCGACCCATCGAGTTGTTCATCAGGGCCTTGATGCAACCAATGAGACTGGTGTGCAGCGGGCTGTTGGCCACTCGGATGTCCAGCTGCAGCAGGAGGTCGAGCAGCGCAGGAAGCCCGTCCAGCTCCACAAATCGGAGTACGAAACTGTGGGTGGATGTCCGCAGCGCCGTCTTGAGGGCGTCCACAAAGGCGGCGTGGCCATCGAGGCGATTGCCCAGCTCATGGCTGGGCGAGTCTTCCGGCGAGAGCGATATGTGCACCACCAGCTCCTTCAGTCGCTCAATGTAGTGCTCTGCGGTGGGGGGCTGGGTGATGGCCGCTGCATCTGGGCCATCGGCCGCGTCCAAGGGCAGCTTCCGCGAGCAGTAGATCTGCCACTTCTTCTGCGCGGGCAGGCTGAGCATCGCCTCCTTGTTGGGGGCCGTCAGATCGAGCTCCTCCACCAGCTCCGCGAACTTGGTGTCCAGCTCATCCACCGACGGCATGGGTTGCGTGGGCGTGAGCGTCTGCAGGGTAAAAGCCCCTTCCACCACACAAATCTCGGGCGGCTCATCGTCCTGCAACGGAAAAGTCAGAAAAATCGATTAGTGGCAGCTTGCTCCAGCGGACACGTTCTCCGCCCGCCAACAGTGCGTGTCCAATTAGACGGCTCGCCTGGCCTCGAGACAAGGCCCACACCACCAACGGTTGGGCAAACCGCCAATCCGATCCACCTGCCGACCTGCCGAGGAAGCGGTTCCGCTCGCTTTGGCAACTGCTTGCCTGCCTGTGACTCAGTCTTGGTTCTTTTGCCTCGACTCGGAAAGGAGTTCTTGCAATTACTCTATTTACCGATTGAATTCTTGTAAAAGCTATGTTTTGCATCGTTCCCAAGGCAATTGGCATTATCGCCTCTTATGCAACTTCGTGCACAATTTGACGAATTTGCTGACACAGAATCGGAATCGGAATCGGAGGGTTGGAAATACGGTTGGGGGCACTGCTCAAGTCTTCAAGTGCTCAAGTGGCGACTCCGATTTCGATTGGTAATTGGGTCTGTCTGGTGTCCACAGCCCGCACGTGACTTTGACTGGCTTTTTCTGTTAGATATTTACTTCTCTGCTATGCAAATTACACCCACACTTTGGACTTTTCGAGCGGGGACTTTGGACTCGCCCGTCGCCTAGCAGTGAAGATTATGTCGTGGTAACTGGAGTCTGGGCTCAAGGATCAATCGGCTTAGCCCAGCGCGTTTCTTGGGGCTACTCCAAATAAGGCAACTATCAACCATCAACCATCAACCATCACCTACCTTGAAGCAGCCGCACCACACCCTCCTGCCCCTGAAGCCGGGCATCTTCTTCTTCTGCTGGTGCCTGTAGTGCTTCTGGAGCGGCGTCTCGTTGCTGCTGCTACTGCCTGAAAGCCACTTCCTGAGGCCAAGAGTGTTGGCGTTGCTGCTGCCGTGGCAGTTGCTGTTGCAGTTGCCGCCGCCGCTGCCGTCGAGGTCCTCCTTCAGGCCAAAGGGATAGCCGAAGGTGTAGCCTAGTATGTTGTGGGTGTAGAAGGAACCGGCTCCGCTGCCCAGGCCGTTCTCATGGCTGGACTGGGACTGCTGCTGTTCACTGGCACAGCTGTGGTCGGTGGCACTGCTGCTGCGTCCGCTGTACTGATTCCAGTAGCGATACAGGCCGTGGAAGCAGTTGTAGTCGCTGAGCAAGCCCTTCCAGTGCTCAAAGTCGAACCGCTCCTGGAAGTTGTTGGACGAGGTGTCGCTGCCGCTGTTGTTGTTGCTGCTGCTGCTGCTGAGCGGGTGGCTGCTGACGTTGTTGCTGCTGCAGCCGGAGCTGCTGATGGGCAGGGTGGCGGTACTGCCCTGGCTGAGACTGAGCTCGCTGCAGCTGTTTAGGCTGGTGATGGACACCAAGCTGCTGTTCTTGTAGTTGTCGGTGGATCCGCCTGTGTTGGCTTGGGTTTTGGCGCTGGCGCTGGCGCTGCCGTTGTCACTGGTTATTGTTATCTTGGTCACTCCAGCAGTGCTGGTAGTGCTGGTAGTTGCCGGTGCGGCCGACGATGCAGTTGCTCCGTCGCCTATTCCTCCATTGATGGCAATGCAGCTGCCGTTCAAGCTAGTCACACTGGTGCTGGCTCCACCCGCTGGCGCCGCCTTGGACTTCTCTAGCGTGCTCTCCGGACTGGGCTGCAATATCTCGGCGTTGGCACTGTGTGTGTCCGGCTCATTGATGCACACGATGGGACACGACTGCAGGGTCTGCAACAAAGAAAGAGATGAATTGTAGAACGTCAGTCAAATGCTAGTGCTCCCGAGTAATTGACCTGCCCACAACATTGTGACAGCCCGCTAATGCCGGCCGACAGGCCGAGGTGTCACGCCAGACAAATGCCCGTCAACAACCGCCTCATGCCAAGACAGCCAAGTCAGCCAAGTCAGCCAAGTCAGCCAAGGCAGTCGAGGCAACCCAACGAATAACCAGGCCGCCCAGTCAAGCCAAGAAACCAAGCCATCCAGCCAAACCTAACCGAGTCATGGCAAGACCAGGCCAGACAGCCCAAAGACGGGCCAAGAAGACAAATGCAATCGCGGTTGCACATATCGCACACACACGGCAACTCGGGGATGTGAGTGGTCTTCACTCGACCAAAGCGGCGGTTGCAACTAGTGTTCTGATATTCATATACTCGTCCATCGTCTTACTGAACATAAATAGCCAAATACCCAAAACCTTTCCCCAAGTTAAGAGGTCGCCTGTCAGATGTCAGCGTATACGCAAAATTTGTCCACGTCCAACTCGTTTTCACTGGCAACAATGGGTACTTGTGGGTTTCTGGCGTTTCTGGCCGTGCGTGGGGTACAGATACAAGATACATTCATGCATTTGCACTCGCAGGGCGAACCAAGCAAACTACTCCCAGAACCGAACCGAACCGAACCGAATCGAATCGACAAACAAATATTAATACAACTGCTGTCAAGCTGCTGGATCTGTCGCAAGTCTGTCTGCGATCCGTGTGGCAACTGCCGCAGAACCCAAATTGAAATCATGTGGGAGAGGAGCTTGGCTTAGCTTTGGCTTTCCTTTCCCTTTCCCCTTCTCCTGTTGTTATGTTGTTATGCAAATTGTGAGTTGTGAACTGCAATTGCATTGCACACCGCACACCGCACACTGCACAAACTGCTTCAGACGCAATCGCGGAGCGGACAGGGGCATCAGTTCCAACCACATTATGCTGATGATGGCTTATTAATTTGCTTTCATTGCGCCTCTGGCCCGTTCCGAGTAAGTGGAATCCGATTTGGAGTGCGCGCTGGTGCTGGAATTGCTATTTGTATTTGTATTTGTATTTGAATGGGAATAGCTTGGAGTGCGCGCGTGGTTCGTCGTCTTGCCCAATGGATTGGGTAATCTGCTGCTGGCTCTGCTGATTTTTTGTTGCCGCGGCGAGTGCTCAATCAGCGGCCATCAATCAATCAGCTAACAGGTTTGATCGACCGGTGTTCTGGCTCCCAACTCGGCCACTAAACGATAACAACTAATACTGAGTGTGCAAGAACAATCTCCGAACTGGCATTGTTGATCTTTAAAGAGCTCCAATTCGCATACCTTATAAACAGGGTTAATGCATTTCAGAGGGGGCAGAGTTCGTTTCGAATGGGAATGTAATCGGCTTATTGCATGCATCTTGTTGAACCAGAAGATATAGTTTTGTTTTTATTAGCTTTGTGAGTTGGCGTGCTCCTAAATTCGTGGCAGGAAATAACTCTGCTCCAGATTCTTTGCTTGGCTTGCTCTACTCCAGTTGGGCTCACCCACTGACTCGCCAGCAGTTCCCAGCTCAGCCGGGGATCACTTCGGATGCAGTTGCTCCAGTTGCCAACTGGGCCCAAAGCCAGCTGCTCTGACAGCCTCTGTCTCGGCTTTGTCTCTTGTCTCCGCTGCTGTCGTCGGCGTCACAAATCAGGTCAATGCTTCAGCTTCGGCTACAGCTACAGCTTCAGTCTGTGTCTACATCTCCATCTCCATCTGGGGCTCAGATCTTCGTCTGGGTCGCAGCCACCAATCTGCTGTGTGTGGGCCCGTTCCACTAATCAAATCCGCACTAAGTTGGCTCGCTAGTTCGGCCTGCGCGTGGGTCCAATTAGACGCGGCTTGATCTGTTGGCCAAACGAAGAGCATACGAGCATACGTGTATATCGCAATGCGAGCGACGTTTTTGGCCACAATTAGAATCTAGTATTTGGAGAGCCAGTAGAAGGGTTAATATACTGTCCGACTAGCTCGGGGCCCATGGAAACAGAATTGTATGATTCGATTTAATTCGTATGCAATTCGATTTTAGCTTTAATTCAGACAAAAGACAATAAAATTCCATCCTAAATCCACCCTAAATTTTCGTTGAAATCACACTCATTCTGGAAAATGCCCAGCAAGTTGAAAACGAATCGCAGGAGAGCACTCCCGAAACCTATGCGGGCAACTCCACTGGTCTGGACAACGTCAAGTCTCTCGGAAGGCTCAGAGAACACCAACTGGGGTTCTTCCTCTAGTTGATTGACTTTGGTCTTGCTTATATCCTCCGCTTTGAAGAACTTGAGTTCCTTGTCGACCAGAACTTCCTCCTTCTTCAACATGCTGGGTCTAATCGATTTTTCCGGTGTTCTCATCGCTACATAATCCGGCCGCAGTGGTGGATCCGGGATCTCGAAGAGTCCGTTCTTGGGCACAACGAAGTGCGTTCTTCGGTTGTGTTGTGGCTGAAGGTCCATTCCTAGAACTACTACTTTTCTGCTACCTAAAATTTGAATGTCTAAATGTCTGACGCCGAACAATGTGTATGATGGGCATAGAAGTACTCATGATATCGTAGGCAATTTTGGAACAGCCACCTAAGAAATCATTTCCACTCTCTATCTCCGATTCGAGGGCTTCTTTTGACTGCGAATAGCATTCCTTGAAATTGCGACAATTCACCCGCCTGAAAACATTTCCTGCTTGCTCTTTCTCCTGCATTCCGCTCCGTTCAGTCTGGTGTCTGATGCCCAAGGCAATCTCATTTTTCACACCTGCCGCCGCCACGCCCCCGCGAACGGGAAAATGCACTTCCGAGTACACCCACCGAGCCACCAAGCCACCAAGCCACCAACCCAACTCACCAGGCGCACGGAGTCGCGTAATAACTTCATAAGGCTGAAAGTGAAATGGAAGTGTGGCAAATGGGTGACGACCACCACGACACCGACTGAAGTCGGTGGCCAGGAAGTGTGAGCGAATCACGGATCTTTATCCGGGCACCGGCGGGATGGGGATTGGAATTGGGATTGGGAGAGGAGTCGGCATCTCTCGGACTCGCCAGTTCATCCAACTGCTGCGCTGCCCTTTGCCAGAGCGACCGAAAATCCATCAAGCGGCGGGCGCGAGCTGCATCCAAAATGAAAACGAAAATGGAAAACAAGTTTTTCCGCATGCCAGGAAAATAAAGAAAACATGTCGAAAGCGCAAAGCGCGCACACAGCTGGCAGCCAGAAACTTTTCCTTTTAGGCACAGCACAGCACTCGACATCAACATAAGCTCATCTTTACCCACTTTTCAGGCACTTTGCGGGATGGACGGTTGCTTAATTATCGGTGCGTACATTGCCAGGTGGCAGGAGGTGGAGCAGCTGAGCGGCATCAATCATACGCAGCGTTGTCCGCTTTCCTCGCCGGCGACAGCGTTGCACTTGCAATTGCAATTTTGGCTTGTCGCACGGTCCAAAAATAGTCATTATGACCAACTAACGAAAGCGGCAGGGGAATTACGGGGTATACGGGGTGTACGGGGCTTACTGACACTTGGGTGCACGAGATTTGTGGCATTTCATTTGCAGTTGTCAGTTAATTGCCAGCATTTTTAGCGCATTTGTCAGCACGGCACTTTTCAAATGCCACTCCTCACGATTTGCGGAGGGGAAACGAAACAGCATCTCAATGGGGCAGCAGATTCCCAATGTTCTATCTCTGGAGGGATTATTACCCTCTCTAGGGCGACAGTTGCGATAAGAGGGAGACAATTATGGTTGCTTTAGATTAGGGCGGTGGAAAATTCCGCCGCAAATAACAAAACTAAACTAACGATCTGAAGATTCCAAATGAAGTAACCAAATGAAAAGTTCACTTTTTCGCTCTTTTCGCTATTATTTTCTGTGGTCGATTGGCGGCTAAAGCGACACAAGGAAAGCCATGCATAAAAATGAACAAGAAGAGAAAAACAACAGCCGCAAAAAACAACTGCACTGGACCGTGGTGAAGGTGTTGTAAGGTGTTGTTTACATGCAACACATAGTAGGCAGTACTGCAGCAAAACAATAGCAGCTCAGGGCAGCAGAGCTCTGAAAATGACTAAAACAATGAGGCGGGCAGGGGGAAATAAAAACCTAAACTAGTAGTGTACTCGAGTAATCAGGCATGGGGGTGCTAAAATGATATTGCACAAGCCCAACCGCTTCACCCACCCACCGCCCAATTCGCCACCAAGCACCAAAGAGCCAGCTCTCCCTCCCGCAGTAGAAAATGAAATTAAAACCACAGACAACCACAGCGCCACCTGCTGGTTGCATGCGAACCTACTTACTACGAACAGTGGGCTACGAACACGGACAGGGAACATGGAGGTGGACATGTCTTGACTGCTTTCGGGCGTTTCTTGGTGGCCATATAAAAGGGCGAATCAACTTTGAGTTCCAAGATAATTTGATGCGTTATTTTTAAAGTTGTGGCCAAAAATCTGATTATTTTATGTCGGAAAATCGGAAAAACGACTTTTGGGAAATATTCGATATTTTCGATGGGAATTTGTATCATAACTTCCATAAAAATCATCAGAGAGATGAGAGAATAACAGTTTTGGACAGCTAATTATCAACGCTAACCATCCCCATCACTTTTTGACGGATTTGGGAAAGTTAATTTTTTTGTGATTTTCTTCCTTTTTTTGTAAGGGGTAACATCACCAAAATTTGAAAAAAATTACAAAAAAATTAAATTTTTATTTTTAGATACAGTTTGATTGGAAATTTGAATACGATCTCAACGATGTATGACAATCCATATTCAGACAATTATTTTTAAAGTTGTGGCCAAAAATCTGATTATTTTATGTCGGAAAATCTGGAAAACGACTTTTGGCAAATATCCGATATTTTCGATGGGAATTTTTATCATAACTTCCATAAAAATCATCAGAGAGATGAGAGAATAACAGTTTTGGACAGCTAATTATCAACGCTAACCATCCCCATCACTTTTTGACGGATTTGGGAAAATTAATTTTTTTGTGATTTTCTTCCTTTTTTTGTAAGGGGTACACAGGGGTGTAAGGGGTAACATCACCAAAATTTGCAAAAAATTACAAAAAAAATTAAATTTTTATTTTTAGATACAGTTTGATTGGAAATTTGAATACGATCTCAACGATGTATGACAATCCATATTCAGACTATTATTTTTAAAGTTGTGGCCAAAAATCTGATTATTTTATGTCGAAAAATCTGGAAAACGACTTTTGGCAAATATCCGATATTTTCGATGGGAATTTTTATCATAACTTCCATAAAAATCATCAGAGAGATGAGAGAATAACAGTTTTGGACAGCTAATTATCAACGCTAACCATCCCCATCACTTTTTGACGGATTTGGGAAAATTAATTTTTTTGTGATTTTCTTCCTTTTTTTGTAAGGGGTAACATCACCAAAATTTGCAAAAAATTACAAAAAAATTAAATTTTTATTTTTAGATACAGTTTGATTGGAAATTTGAATACGATCTCAACGATGTATGACAATCCATATTCAGACAATTATTTTTGAAGTTGTGACCAAAAATCTGATTATTTTATGTCGGAAAATCTGGAAAACGACTTTTGGCAAATATCCGATATTTTCGATGGGAATTTTTATCATAACTTCCATAAAAATCATCAGAGAGATGAGAGAATAACAGTTTTGGACAGCTAATTATCAACGCTAACCATCCCCATCACTTTTTGACGGATTTGGGAAAATTAATTTTTTTGTGATTTTCTTCCTTTTTTTGTAAGGGGTAACATCACCAAAATTTGCAAAAAATTACAAAAAAATTAAATTTTTATTTTTAGATACAGTTTGATTGGAAATTTGAATACGATCTCAACGATGTATGACAATCCATATTCAGACAATTATTTTTGAAGTTGTGACCAAAAATCTGATTATTTTATGTCGGAAAATCTGGAAAACGACTTTTGGCAAATATCCGATATTTTCGATGGGAATTTTTATCATAACTTCCATAAAAATCATCAGAGAGATGAGAGAATAACAGTTTTGGACAGCTAATTATCAACGCTAACCATCCCCATCACTTTTTGACGGATTTGGGAAAATTAATTTTTTTGTGATTTTCTTCCTTTTTTTGTAAGGGGTACACAGGGGTGTAAGGGGTAACATCACCAAAATTTGCAAAAAATTACAAAAAAATTAAATTTTTATTTTTAGATACAGTTTGATTGGAAATTTGAATACGATCTCAACGATGTATGACAATCCATATTCAGACAATTATTTTTAAAGTTGTGGCCAAAAATCTGATTATTTTATGTCGAAAAATCTGGAAAACGACTTTTGGCAAATATCCGATATTTTCGAAGGGAATTTTTATCATAACTTCCATAAAAATCATCAGAGAGATGAGAGAATAACAGTTTTGGACAGCTAATTATCAACGCTAACCATCCCCATCACTTTTTGACGGATTTGGGAAAATTAATTTTTTTGTGATTTTCTTCCTTTTTTTGTAAGGGGTAACATCACCAAAATTTGCAAAAAATTACAAAAAAATTAAATTTTTATTTTTAGATACAGTTTGATTGGAAATTTGAATACGATCTCAACGATGTATGACAATCCATATTCAGACAATTATTTTTGAAGTTGTGACCAAAAATCTGATTATTTTATGTCGGAAAATCTGGAAAACGACTTTTGGCAAATATCCGATATTTTCGATGGGAATTTTTATCATAACTTCCATAAAAATCATCAGAGAGATGAGAGAATAACAGTTTTGGGCAGCTAATTATCAACGCTAACCATCCCCATCACTTTTTGACGGATTTGGGAAAATTAATTTTTTTGTGATTTTCTTCCTTTTTTTGTAAGGGGTAACATCACCAAAATTTGCAAAAAATTACAAAAAAATTAAATTTTTATTTTTAGATACAGTTTGATTGGAAATTTGAATACGATCTCAACGATGTATGACAATCCATATTCAGACAATTATTTTTAAAGTTGTGGCCAAAAATCTGATTATTTTATGTCGGAAAATCTGGAAAACGACTTTTGGCAAATATCCGATATTTTCGATGGGAATTTTTATCATAACTTCCATAAAAATCATCAGAGAGATGAGAGAATAACAGTTTTGGACAGCTAATTATCAACGCTAACCATCCCCATCACTTTTTGACGGATTTGGGAAAGTTAATTTTTTTGTGATTTTCTTCCTTTTTTTGTAAGGGGTAACATCACAAAAATTTGAAAAAAATTACAAAAAAATTAAATTTTTATTTTTAGATACAGTTTGATTGGAAATTTGAATACGATCTCAACGATGTATGACAATCCATATTCAGACAATTATTTTTAAAGTTGTGGCCAAAAATCTGATTATTTTATGTCGGAAAATCTGGAAAACGACTTTTGGCAAATATCCGATATTTTCGATGGGAATTTTTATCATAACTTCCATAAAAATCATCAGAGAGATGAGAGAATAACAGTTTTGGACAGCTAATTATCAACGCTAACCATCCCCATCACTTTTTGACGGATTTGGGAAAATTATTTTTTTT